GATAAATATGTAGAAGATTCTTTACTTTTTATGAGTAAAGTCTAGGGGTGTGACGATATGCTAAGTTCATGAGAGGAGATGATACACGATATTGGGTCCACGAGAACGAGACAAGACGATATTTTAACACTATTAAATCTTCAATAACGAAATATATGAGTGGAAAATGTGTCTTTTATTCAACGGAAAATCACAAATTGCAAAACAATGCAGGTGCGTTTTGAAATTTTTTAACTAGAGCTGTACGATTCAGGATAATTTGAATAACATTTTCTTTAATTTTTTTCAAAAAGAGATCACGATTCTCCCACAATTCTGAACAGACAACTACACAAAATAACTTAATGTATTAAATGTAATTTACTAAAGGTTCGGGCAAAATGGTAATCGCTAGTCTAATGTTTACTGGTTTAAATGAATGATTCAATGACTCACTTATGAATACTTTTGGATGATTCAGTGTTTTTGAACTGAAGTGTCATGTTAAATTCAAGCATGATTTATTCTATTTTGATCGCTTCTGTAGACATCAGTGTTTTCATCTGAAATATAAACTTTTATCCCAGTGTTTCTGTGATAATATGATTATGTAACAGAGAAATAATGATACAAAAGTATGCGTATAAAAATACTATTTGTGAAGCTGTTTCATACCTACACATGATAAATGCTTCCTCTGGGTCAGCGGCAACACAGATTTGAATGTTCCGGTGTGATATGGTCAAAGGTTTCATAGACGAATTGTCATTTTATCAAACCATTTGTACTATTTGATGTCGCGGCGATGATGGAGCCTATTTCTCTGGCCAATGGCAGGACATCACCCTGCCTGAACGGCCAGTCCATCACAGGGCTAAAATGTATTTTCATTTTATTATATAATGTCATTTATTAATAATAAAAATTAGTTAGTTTTTGAATCCCTGGAGACTTTTGGACCCCAGTGTATGTGCATTGCCTGAACAATTGACAACTAGGTGCAGAATGGTAGCCTGGCTGTGTGTCAGTTTTACATGTTAATCATTAAAAGTTGAAAAAATTAAAATAAAAAAATAAAAAAATTTGTCAAAAATAAAAATTTGAAACAATTTGTTTTAATAAAAAAACTAAATGACATAAATAAAAATGTACAAACACATACTTTGAAGACCATAATTAATTAAGGTAATTAAGAAACAGTAAGACTTATTGTTGAAAAATTGTTGTTTGTTATACATCTGCAGATAGAGACAGATCATTCACTGTTCAGCATTTGCGGCAGATATAAAACGACCTCAGCAGCGTATTTGTAATGATTAGACACAGTTTAGACAGTTGAATGAATACATCACTGTCCAAAAATACATTTCGAATTAATAATTGTTCCTAGATGAACAAAACCCGCAGCTCTCGTTGACAGAAATCTTATCCTCTGATCATTCGGACTTGTTGTTTCCAGCCCTTTCGGCGCATGACACATGTCACGACCACATGTTAGCGATTGGCAATGGCAGATCGTGAGTGACTCTGGGCAGATCCAATAGTTTTGAACTTTAACTGAGAAACCCGCCTACAAGAAAGTAAACGTTTCTCAATGGAGAGAGGCCAGACTCACTGTACAAATGAAATGGATGAGAGTCTGGTTGAACCAGGCTAGCAGAATGGTATACTCTATATGGAATATCCCTCATATCTTTGTTTTTGTTCCCCAAATTAAATATGCCATTATCTACTCTTACAAAGGACTATGAAACAACATTAGTGAGATTAAAGCCTTAGACAAACTGATCTGACTGAAAAAAAAAAGACAGAAAGATCTTATACTGTGAATAGGTGACGCAACATGGTTTTGCCTAGCACCAAATACTTGGTCAAGAAAAGAAGAACTGTTGCCACACAGTGTGTCAAATTCCATTGCTTTTAAGTTGAAATCAACCAATCATATAATTGAAACGAGGTGACTTCTCTTGCATGGCCTCCTCTGAACCCTGCTTCTTTACAATGGTATTTCCAGACACAGTAGTCCTGTCATCTGTGTTCCATCAGTGACTCTAATGAGATCACTAGTGGATTTACACTATATAAAGAAGAGTTTGTGTGGTGCAGTCTATTGTTACAAGCAGAGTGGGCCGAACCAGATCAAAGCGGGAGAGCGGAATGAAGAAAGAGCGATGAAGAGCAGAATAAGAGTTGGAAACAGACGGAAAGGATTGATGTAAAGAAGGGGAGTCTGAGCAGTGGAAAATGAGAGAGGTGGAACAGGGAAGAAATACAATGAGAGGGACGTGGAAAGCCTCCTGACTTCCTGATGCTTTCATGAATACAGTTAGAGCCAGAGCAGTCTGACGAGAGCTGGGACATTTCTGGCATACCTCTCTCTCTCTCTCTCTCTCTCTCTCTCTCTCTCTCTCTCTCTCTCTCTCTCTCTCTCTCTCTCTCTCTATCTCTCTATCTCTCTATCTCTCTCTCTATCTCTCTCTCTAAATTCAAATTCAAATTCAAATGAGCTTTATTGGCATGACTTATACAGTATTGCCAAAGCATTGGCCATTACATAGGTAATGAACAAATAATCAGTAAATGAATCAGTAAACAAATGCATGAAATACATGCATATATATCAGAAAACAAACAAAATAAATAAATAAACAAAAAAAAAAACACGTTTTTTTTTTATTTTTTTTTTATTTTTATTTTTTTTTAACCAACATTCTGACTTTAGTTTTGTCCACTGGCTGACTCTCGTAGTTTGTGACAGGCTGTTACATACTCTCTCTCTATCTCTCTATCTCTCTCTCTATCTCTCTATCTCTCTCTCTCTCTCTCTCTCTATCTCTATCTCTCTAGCGTGGGATCAGGACAGTTTCTCTATTGATTAATGAAAATCCCATTTGTGCGATACTTGCACTAATGTAGTCGGGCCAGGCTATCAAATATTCACAATGTATTAACAATGATTTTGACATCAATGCAAAATTAAGCAATTTCAAAAATATCACAGCAATTTTTATGCACTGTTTCATGACACTTCCTTGTGTCATCTTTGTTTAATAGCATCTCTGATTTAAAACGGCATCATTAAATCTTGAAAAAATAATCATTTTTTGACAAATTTTTTTATTTTTTTATTTTAATTTTTTCAACTTTTAATGATTTTTTTTTTTTTACCTCTTTATTATTAAAACGCTTTATTGTCTTTAGAAATAAAGATAAAATAATCATCCACTCAAACTAAAAGACAGGGAAGGGGGAACAACAGACATATCATATCAGACATATTAAAAAAATTAATAAAAATAAAAATCAATTTATATCATTCCTTTATACAATCCAATATTTTGGAAGAAAAACATTGCCATGCATCAATGGTACTAGGTTGAGCCTTGTTAATTCGTGCTCTTGTACATTCACCATTCACTATTGTATGGTGGCTATGAATCCAATATGTTTTTGCACAGGAGCAAGCCAGTTCTGTATTATTGTCTTCTTCGTACATAAACAACATTATTTTTTGTAAGGATATACAGGAGACAGAATTGTCATTGAGAAGACATGAACCTGGATTAGACATGTAATTCATTTGTAGTAAGGAGGATAGAACCAAGTTTACATTATCCCATATGTTGGCAACAATTGGACACTCCCAAAACATATGAAGAAAAATACCTGACGATAGAGTGTTAGAGTTATGGCAGTTAAAAGTTGATTGTAGTTTCATTTTTTTACCTCTTGTAAGGGGTTATGTATGCTCTTTGGATGACTTTGAAATGGATAAGATGATGAACCAAGTTTTTTAGAAGTTAGAACTAAGAAGACTAAGATTAAGATTAGACCACAACATCTCCCAGTCGACAAATAAATTAAAATCAGATAATTCATGATTCCAGATAGATTAAAAGAGACTGTGTGATCATTAACCCTACTATATATTAAAGAAACAGAAGGCCGACCAGAGAATGATGTGATCTAATCCTACATAGGATGGGAAGAAATGGGATATGCCTTGAGACCCGAGCGTACAGGTAGCTGAAAAAAGACAAAATATGAGGATGCTGGTAAACAAAACTTAGTTCTTAGTTCTTGAGGTGCACAAAGTCCCTGGTTATCAAATAAGTTGCTGCATGTGTTTATACCCAGTGAAGACCAAGAAGGCTGGACAATTGACCGATTTCCACATAAAAAATTAAAGTTGTTAAAGTCCATAAAGGTGTGTTGCTACAAAATTTGAATGGTCCTCCCATCAGATGTTTAACCCTTTTCCAGATCCTAATAGAACTGGCCACAACTGGGTGAATTTATACTTATTTTTATTTCCTTTACCAGCAAATAGAATATCTTGAACATAATAGAATATGTTTGAGCCTATGTGGTTTAACCTTGTCAGCTTCAATTTCTCTTCATGGAACTTGGAATCAACCAAATAATAATAATAATAATAATATATAATGTTTGTGTGTAAGTGTGTGTGTGTGTTTGTTTAATAGGTAAATAAGTAATAGTTTGGTGCGTACCTGAAAATAATTAAATATTCTTCACTGTGTCCATTTAGTAATGTTCAAATGATGTTAGAACATGCTGTAACATATTTTTAGCTACAGCAAACAACCCTAAAAGATAGATGTGAACCTACTATTTCTGCCTTTTATTTGTCAGTGTCATGCTCAAACTCTCTTTTCATGGTCAAGATCCCCTCTCTAGTCTCTCTCTCTTCTTCCATACACACTATTATCTGCTTTAACACACTCTCACAAAGATAAATGTACATATATCCAGCTCCTGTATTGCCCTTTCCCATTAGTATGATCATTATTTCCACCACTTTTCTTTTTTTCACTTTTTTTTCCCTCACACATATACACATACTCACACACACACACACACACACACACATTACTTTGGGTCTGTATTAGTTGATATTGTCCAGGGCATGTTAGCCACTGTCTCAAGGTGACGTTTATAGTCCTATGTCTCTTCATTAGTGCCACCAAACCTCCATAATGCTCACTCTCTGTCTTTCTCAGGCTGTGGAGTCTCAAATCAGAAGTTTTGGACAGACACCCTGCCAGCTGCTAATTGAGCCCCACATGCCACGCAGCTCTGCCATGCAGGTGGTGAGTAATACGCACACAAAAACACTCTCACTGTCTAATTTCACATGCAGACCATTACAAATGCATTAACCTGTCTACAAAAGTTTATGCAACAGACATTTACATAGTCTAAAACCGAAATAACAATGTAAAAAAAGTCAGCTAATTTTTTTCAAATGGTAAAAAAAAGGTACATAGAACAATAAAAACATGGTCTCTCTCTCTCTCTCTCTCTCTCTCTCTCTCTCTCTCTCTCTCTCTCTCTATAACAATAACAAAACAGATTTGCATATAGTCTATTTCCTCCTCATTAGCTCTATACGCACAAAACTAGTGTTCTTGTATACCAAGGACGCTGTCAAATCTGGAACCATTATGTGCATTTTCTGCACAGAAGGGTTTGTAAAAAACGGAATTATAAACACCAAGTAGTGTTTAAATCAGCAACTTATTTGAGAAAACTGCCAAAGCAAAACTAGATTTCATAAAACTAGATTGTGTCCATTGTAATTACCCTATAACATCTCTTCAGTTGATACAAATCACAATCTTTATATATGCTTCTGCCTTAGCAGCTCTAGCCACTTTGTTTTTATGTTGATCTAAAATATTATAGTATGTTTGACTCTTAAGTTTAAATCGACCCATTAATTGTTTTGTGCTTTTCCTGCCCTATTTCACGGAGCCCCCAGCGTGAGAAAGGGTCCCAGAAGTGGGAAAAGTCCTATAGTTGAGCAGAGAGCTCTGAGGTGATAGGGTCTTTAGTCTAGAAACTGAGAGACTGTGGGTGACGGCCTAGAAGCCCCCATTAGCTGTGTGTTTCTGTGGCGATGACAGCCCCCGCCTGCCTGTGTGGAAACAAACTCTCACATTCTCCTCTAAATGTCCACATGCAGATATAGTTATAGGCTCAGAACTGGATTTCTGACTTTACATAATGCTGACTGAGCCTTTGAACTCACAACTTCATAATAATCCCACAATCCCAAGCACAGAGTCTAAAACTGACTGTGAAAGGCTAAATAAACATCACTCTGAACTGGAGATCTGATACAAATGGTAGAATTAATTGTTTGTTTATGATGGTGAGTGCAATCATGCAATCAATGGAAATTCATTGGTCAAAAGGTATGGGAACCCTGTAAAATTCAGACATGCTCAAATCGTAAATGTTTATATAAGCTTCTGTGCCTTCATGTACATGATCTTACCCAATGCTTACTGTCCCATTTGATTTTTTACAAAGAAGTATTTTTTACACAGGCGTATTATCTTTTTTTGTTCTTAATTTAATGGAGAAAAAACAATCTCTTGGACAAAATCAGGCATTAAAGCAGCTTTCTGAAATATAAGAGAGATGGCATGACAAGACACTTCTTTTTTTAAATTAACTTTACATTTTCATGTGATCCTGCATATGTACTCTCTGTTATCCTTTCATCTATCTCTTTCACTCTCTGCCTGCACTTCTTTCTCTCCCTCTTCCGTGTCTCCAGTGGGTTAATGAGGGTAGATCCTCTGTTTAATGGCACTCACAGGCTGAACACTGTTTAAGGCCTTAGCTGTCTTTCTAATTTACTGCAGGCACACCAATTAGCCCCGTGTCTCCATACTGTGTCTAAAAATCACACACACGTCAGGATTAGACATCACAGACAGAAGACAGCAGTTGGACTGGAATAGGGCACAATTTAATGGTGACATCGAGTGAGAGACATACTAAAATATATGAGCTTAGTATTTATAAGCAAATAAATATACTTCCTACAATATTTTTTTTTATAATATTAGTTCAAAATAGACCTTCTTTAAAGTGAATAAAGTATGCTGTAAATAAATATCATTATAAAGCACCAGCCAATCAGATTGCTAAATGAGAATGACATCACAGCTGCCCAGTCTGAACACTATCTCCTGCTTCTACAAACACAGCCCTGCCTCAATGAGGAAGTCAACTTGATGGTTGGATGACTTTGCTGCCAAGTAATCAAACAGCTGTGTTTGTGCATATACCTTTCTTAGCTTATCTTCATCTGCTGTATTGTAGAATGGAACGGAAGATAAAGTAGATTAGAATGTTACTAATGGAGGTTGCAATACATTGTGGCAGCCTAAAGGAAAGTTGAAATCTGCTCTGATCTTTTGCAACTTTGTCTTTACAAACTGTTGTCCTTCTATTTATCTTGTACTCATTACCCGGGAAATGTAACTTGCCTGAAGCATTTTTGGAATTCTCTAAGGTCTAAGAATGTCAAATCTATCATTGATTTTTTTTGTGTGTGTGTGTGTGAAACGACAGTGTGTATCTGCTTTGATCTCTCTCTCTCTCTCTCTGACCTCTTTTCTCCAGCTTTAAAGGCCCCCTGTAGTCAATAATTGTATCCCTTAAAAATCATCTTTGATCACCAAAATTTAAATGTTTTTTTTTTCTTGTGAAAAAAAATATTTATACCTTTAAATAGCTTGATTCGAATGGAACTCTACACCCTTGCTTCATTTAGTATATGCAGAACCATGAATGTGCTAATTAGCCCCGCCTCCACTCACCAGCTCAGAGATTCACTCGGTCAACTTTACTGATTTACAATAATATCACTCTTTACAACGTCGGACATGTAATGGTAATTAATATAATTAGCCTTTTTCTTGTCTACTTTGTCAAATAGTCTAATGTGTTGCTAATGTTACACAAACCATGTTTTTATTCGCCATCTCAGAGTCAGACAGCTGTCTTCTAAATATCAGCATCCTTATGGTACGTTCACACCGGACGCGAATAGCGCGTCAGGCGCGAATGATTTCAATGTTAAGTCAATGCAGAGACTTATGCACGTAAAAAAATCCTGCAGCGCGAATGAGGCGTAGAGCGTCTGGCGATAGGCCTCGTTTACACTGCATGGTTCAAGTGACCCAAATCCAATTTTTTCCTCTCATGTGGCACAGATCGGATATGACCGGTGAACGTGTAAGCAGAAAAAAACGCATGGATTCCGATTTTCTCAGATCGGATTCAGGTCTCATTCATATGTGGTAATAAATCGGATATGAATCAGATACGTGCATTTGCGTGTGCCATGTAAGCAGACAAATCGGATATTCCCCAGTAAATGCGAGTCATGCGTCATTAAAAACTGCGCGATGGAAGAAAGGATACACACAGTGGAACAATGCGGAGGTTTCATGTCTTTTGAGTGTTTGGGGTGAAGAGTGCAGACAAAAATGCAGGATTGTTACAGAAATAAATCCGTTTTTGAAGACATTTCACTAGATATGAGGCATCGTTTTAAGTGCTCATGGCCAGTGCCTCTCCTCTTTTTTTCTCTGCCGTACGAGACCAATGTTTTGATGACTTATTGAAATATTGTGGAAAGAAAACACTGGATAATTTTATTCGCATCGGCATCCATTGAATTTCGTGCTGTTTTGCTTAATTTCCCGGTTCGAACCATCAGAACGTCTGCATTTGGTAGTTTCAGCAGTGTATAGTGTGAATGCAAAAATCGGATATGGGTCACTTTTAAAAGATGATGTAAGCAGGTCGTCAAAAAAATCGGATATTGTCAGAAAATCGGATTTGGGCATCAAGACCTGCGGTGTAAATGCAGCCTTAGTTAGTGCTACAGTATTTGTGCATTCACGCGTTTGACTCTCTCAATGAATGCTCAATCAACATAAAAAAGATGGCCGCCAACGGGTTTCGATTCTGACGCGCGTAAATTTCGCTTCAAACTTTTGTTTTTATGCTCGTCAGTTTCACTCATGATGCGCAAATTAACACAAAGTGGTTAAGCGTCAAACTAGGCGCAAATTTGACGCGTTATTCCCATCCGGTGTGAACGCACAGTTAGAAACGCTTTTGATAACTCAGAACGTCAGTGGAGAAAGGCTTATAGTTCTTAACATCTATCTTAACATTGTAATATACATCAAATACACATTTCTACCAGATTTTGGATATCAACAGAAAAATATATGGGGATAACCTGGCTTCTCTTGAGACTCCCTGCTTCAGATCGGTCATAGTTAATGAAATGCTAAAGCCCGCCCCCACACATTGGCATAATTGCTTACAAGGTAGTTTATGACGCAAGAAAAACCAACGATTTCAAACCGCGTTTTTCGAGACCGTCTTTAGATCACTGCAGTTTTAAAGAGATAATACTCATGTGTTATGAATTTGCACATGGTTTTCCTTAAATAATTTTAAAACACTTAGACATATAAACTTTATTTTCACCACAAGGGGACTTTTACTTATTTCAGAATCAAATTTGAAGTGTTCATGCACTTCATTAATGTACAGAAATAAATAAATAAATAAGGCTTACCGGGAATGATATAGTGAGTAATTAGTCACATGACTAATGTGAGTAATAATCAGCTTGTAGGTCAATCCAATGCAATCATATACTGTAGATATGATCAGAATTTTTTTCTTGTGAAAAGCTGCAAATGCATTTAATTCTCATTTAATGAAAATAATTCTCATTATATACACAACCTCATAAGCCTGCTAAATTGTTAAGTCATGAGATAATCACTGATTTCAACAAATTTTTGCAAATCATTTTGCTTTGTTCCATGCACAGAAATACAGACATTCCTGAACTGAATCTTGAAAAGATTTGATCCCAAACCTGTTCTGACCAAGAATCTTAATTCCCAACCCTAATAACAATCCAGTTATGATATTGTGTTGCATAACCCTAATTACCTCTGTCCTCAATCTCAGCTTTTGTGCTCTTTTACACCGTTCTGTCTTTCGCTGCCTAATTTCATTTCTTGCTGCTTCTCTCCCTCTTCTCTCTTCCTCTGTCCCACTATCACTCTCTTTTCCTCTACACTCCCTGCTGATGATGGCGGTAATGGACTCAACAGTATCTCCTTCTGCAGACCCCACTGATGTTCACAGAGCAGATGCAGCAGGATGTCATCATGGTCCTCAAGTTCCCGTCCAACTCGCCTGTCACCCACGTGGCCGCCAACACACAGTCAGGCCTGACCAACCCAGCGGTCATCACCGTCACCGCCAACCGCCTCTTCGCCGTCAACAAATGGCACGGTCTCACTGGTGAGTAAGAACAATCAGACAGCAAGGTGTTTGGTGATCAGTAACTGGATAGTTATTATGTTACGCCAGGTTACGCAACCCTATCTCATGATAAAACGTAATTGTGGTGATTTCGTATGTAATCATACAATTTCTCAACAGAAATGTATGATTTTTAGAAGGAAAAAAAAGCATGCTGGTAACTCCTGCCCTAAACCTAACCATCGGGAGGGTGTAAGCAGATCATACAAGATTATCATAAGAGTGTGTTAGGGTTCTGTCAAGTTTGATGTCAGATGCAGGATGACGTTCATTTCGGCACATCACATAATGTAAACTTCAGTAGCTTGATCCCTCTAAACTCTGGTTGTATATAATCATCAGCTCCTTAGACATTGATATCTCAGACGGAATTGGATCAAATGTGACACTTCCTCTGCCTTGCATTCAGCTTCCTGTCCACCTCCATTTATCAGCCTCTCCTTGTTTTTTTATTTTATTTATTAAAAATTAATTGAACCGAAAGAAATGCTGAGAGTCTGAATGCTGATATTAAGAGACAGGGTGGTTCTCTAATTTAAACTTGATCTCTTCAGATGGTGGTTTTAAATTATCCTAAGGATCTGTATTATGGGCAGGATACATTTTTAAGGGGCACTTGGCAACTCTAGATCACTGATTTTCACTTTTGTTGTCGCATGAGTTGTTATCAGCGCCCCCTACAACTGTGCGGTGTATATATTAGGCTTGCTACGGTAGTCGGTGATACCGGTGTTGCCGGTGTTCAGTCGCAACACCTGTTTAATGACATGCCCACCGCGGTTGGCATGTGAAATAAAAAAAAAGTTTAAAGCCTTAAAAATATTGAACGCAATTACGCAGTAGTCGTTAAATCCTGCCTATTAACACACACACGACCCACAGAAAAGACGCACGTTGGTATCCAGTTCTCTTTCGGGCTTGAACAAACCACAACATGCAAATTATGCCAAAATTTCCATAAGAGCAGTCTTAAACGAACGTAAAGATGTAGAGATTTGTGAGAAAATGGGACACGTGTCAGATCGCGTCTCTGTCAGCAACGGCTGTCCGAATTCGCTCACTCGTTTTTACTTACTCCTTCTCATTCACTCCTTCAAGTGAACATGTAGTGGGCTAATGTAGGGAATAGGCCTAGTGAATGAGGGTTTAGGGGGCAATTTTGGATTCAACCCATGTTCTCAAGAAAAATAGAGGACACTGACAACGCGTTGACAGACAGGGCCGAGCAGGTAATATTTAATATGAAACAGTCTCAACTTTCAAATTTGGTCAGTCAAAGAAAATCAAGCAATAAATAGGCCTACCGTTTTGTGGCTCTTTAATGTGCCGTGACAGATTGCCTGATAAAGCCAAGTTCCACCGACGTTAATCTATAACTCTCCCGACTGATTTGTCGGACAAAAATGGTGGATTTTCATATCTGTCAATCAAAAGTTAGTTTCGTTTTCAAACTAGCGCATATTCAGGGCACAATAACAAAACAGTTCTTTCCCTCACTACCGCACCGTTATGTATGCCCGTGAAAACGTGCGCATTTTACGTTTGCCTTTAAATTAGCGATTTAAAAGCCCCCACCGGTGACACCGGTATTACTGGTGTTGTCACACGTCGATTAACCGGTGAGAAAATATCCTCACCGCCACAACCCTAGTATACAGTATATTTCACAACACTGTCATAAAAACACTCACTTGTGGCGCCTTCCTCTCGCTTTCTAGCGCTGCTCATGTGCATTTGTTATTATCGGAGCCGGCCAACTTTATCGTGTGGAGCTATGTCTACCGAGTGGGTAATACATCATACAGAGTATCATAGAATTACGTCGAATTGCCATTAAGCAGTTTGTGTTTTTCGCTCGTTCTCGCTTCTCACAAGACTTCCAACTTTCCGGGACGTTAGTCCTCATGTTGGTTGGTTGTCCGCCTGGGAACGCTGGGGGGAATGGGGAAAGTGATTTCAAATGATTTCTAAACAGTTTTATTAAGTTGAAATAGTTGCCAAGTGCCCCTTTAAATTTGTGTTTTTTGTAAAAAAAAAAAAAAATGCTATCCACAAGTTTCCGAGGGGCGCTCCTGTAAAAAATAAAGTGGGTGAAACTTCCGGTGACGCGGCGGAAGTAGCATTCCAATGGTATTTTGTGTGTTAGTTAGCCAAGAGGCTAGCTGTTTTTCAGAGAATTATTTTACTATTTAAAGACGCAAATCTTTATGAGAGATGTCGTTACGGAGCTCAGGGACAACATGTGCTGTTCGCGGTTGTATGTATAACCGGACTAAACTAGTTCAGTGGCTTAAACGGGATTGTTTTGAACATAAGCCGAAAACTAAATCAGAGTGATTCTGCCAGAGCCCGTCTCTGATCCTGCCAACGACTGTAGTTTCCATCACCTCCCAAAAGACGACGAATCTTCCTGTGTACATTTGTTAATTCTTAATATTCTATAAACTCTATCAGCATGTGATTGGCTGTTTGCTACTGATGTTACACCTAAACTCAGGATCAAAGCCTGTGTTGACAGAATACCAAATGTGCCAGTTAATGTATTAAAGTAGCACATTCATTTATAATTTTGAATAAACTCCAAAGCACAATGACTAAGTGTGTATTTTTTATTTTAATTGTTTGTCAGCTCACACAACTGTCTGTCACCATGCCTTGATGAGTATTGATTATTAATAATGTTATTATAATACTCCCAATCAACTACTGCGGAGGTAAAGGTACTGTTATTTCACCCTTTTGAATTTCGTTGAGGTTGTGTTCCTACATCGTTAGCTAGTTTGGATCGCTATAACTTGAATGACTGTCAACTGTTGAATGAACGAGTGTCAAGCATGTCAAATCGCGCTTTGTTTACTTCCAACCGGAAGTCGCGCCCACTTTTGACGCAAGGCCTCATGGGGCGTAGGAAACTTGTGGATTAACCACCAGAAAAAACCTTTTTAAAAGTTTATACAGTATGAATATCAATAAACTGACGATTTGAAAAAGATTTTCCTCTGTTCTTCACATCCCAATGTAAAGAGATGTGAATAAACTCCTGGCTACTATGTGTATACCATTCTGATGGATTAAACCTATTTTATCATTGGTTCTCTCTCTTTCTCTCAGGTCATCAAAGCTCTTCTGTGCAGGACCAGCAGTACCAGTTACCGGTGGAGATTGACCCTTTGATAGGTCTGTGGCTTGTCAATCGTCAGTAGAGTGATTTGTGATAGGCCGTTGTGAGTTGTGAGGGCCCGGCCCTTGAGAGGAGATGAGTGCTGTTTTTCACCCAGCCGCCATTCAGCTTCAGTTCAGCATTTGCATGCAAATTGGAAAGCAATGAGCTGTGGCTTAGCCTGTACATCATCAGCTCTCTCTCTCTTTCGTTCTCTGTCTCTCTGTCCTGTCAGAGTGAATGAATATGAATGGTGTAATAATGTCTGATTGAAGCCGCGTGGCACACGATGTCAGGACAATATGTCCTCCTCATCTCTCCGACCTGTTGATGATGCAGAAAAAGAGGAGAGAGGGATGAGAGTGGGAAGATGTGTGATAACATATGGCCGAAGCCTCTCTGAAGGTTCTCTCCCTGCTCCTATTCATCTTATATCTCTACTCCCCTGCTGCTTTTATTATTATACAGTAACATATGTCTTGCCTAATTTATCTGTTTGTCACTTCATGGTGTGTCCCTTCAATCAACTCCCCTGTATCTTTCTCTACACCTCCACCTCCAATCTGAATTTAAGCCTTCAGCAATCCAAAATAATTTTTTAATTCTTTGAAATTCATATGAAAACCAGAGCAATTAACTGTCCAATATTAAAGTGTTTTGAAATGATCTGAATCTGATAATGTCACTACTTGGGCAGCTTCTAGAGTTCTTTTTTTTTTACAAATTGTCAACAGATGCTAAATAGTCTATAGTGCTAATGCACAATGTTTACAGATATTTTGAGGAAATATTGTGTAAAATAAATGTAAATAAGTGTAAATAATTGTATAAAATGTATAAGAGCTATATTATAATACTGTATATACTATAAATATGTGAGTAAGGAATATATAATGCAGTACAATACAAAATAAAACAATACAATACATAGCTAAAGTATGTGGACACCAACACGTTTCATTTAATTTAAACATTTAATGGCCAAAATAGGAATTTCCCATTGCTTCTTTAGCAGTTTTTATTAGGGCTGTGCAAAAATTAATTGCGATTAATTGTGATCCAAAATAAAAGTCTGTGTTTACATAATATATTTGTGTGTGCTGTATATAATTATTTTGTATATATAAATACACACACATGCATGTATATATTTAAGAAAATGTGTTATTCATATATAAAATATTTATATTTATATAATATAGATTATGTATTTATACAGTATATATATATATATATATATATATATATATATATATAGGCCTATACAGAATTTAAGCACAAATAATTCTTAAATATATACATGCATGCATAGGTATTTATATATAAAATAATTATATACGGCACACACAAATATATTATGTAAACACAGACTTTTATTTTGGATGCGATTAATAGCAATTAATTTTTGCACAGCCCTAGTTTTTATGTTTTCCAATATGTGTTGGAACATGGCTTTAGGGTATTGTTTGCATTTACCTACCAAATAAATAAATGGGAATTAAATATTGATTTAAGTTGAAATTATATTAAAGTGATGAAAGAAATATTAAATTAGTACAGCTATAGTAGGAAATGTTTAACTAAAGCAGGACGTTTCTTTTTTTTTTTTTTTTCTATTAAAATATTTATCAAAGACAACAAATCACCCTCCCTTCTCCCTCCTGTCTCTCTGTGTGGGGAGAGACCTCTTTCATAGCTCATTTTCTTTCACTCCTTCTCCCATCGTCATGTATGTATTTAGACGGACTGCATTCCACACAGCTCACACTTTTAAACACAGTAAATTCTTCATGACTGTGCTGTTGATAATCTGTCCGATCACTCCAGCACAGACGCCGTGCTGGTGTGTGTCATGAGTGTGTCTGGGCCTCACACACCTGACTCTGTGTAGCCTGGCCTCTTCCATCTCTCTTTCTCACTGTCTCTGTCTTATGTGTACAAGAAAATACATGTAATTTACAGCATTTTGGTCACTTTTTTTAGTCTTTCTTTCACCAAAAGGGTCTGTTTTTCAAATGTTTATGGCAGAGGCAAATGTGACAGGTATTTTACAGTTCTGTCTTCTGCTGTTTTATGTTTTCATTCACAAATTGCATTCGGTCACGCACAGTTAATAAGAAAATGAAATATTTTCTCATGCAAATGGTTTTACATCTGTATAATCTCTTAAGAGGTTGTCAGAATTTCACTTACCAAACACTTTTGGGTCCAGACTCTTTATTTTTGTACCATATTTCTCCACAATTCTGTGGGTGTCTTTACAGTACATCCTTGTTAATCTCTTACTTTTTCTAAGTTTTTATTTCTCTCTTTCTTACCTTTTAATTCTCTAACTAGCAAAGTAATGTTAGTACTTTTATACCAAAGTGACTCTTTAACCAATGACTCTTTATCTTTTTGCAGCCAATAATGTGGGCACTCACAGGAGGCAGATCTCAGATCTGTTAGATCAGAGCATCCAGGTAAACGCTCAGTGTTTTGTCATCACAGCTGACAACCGCTTCATCCTGCTGTGTGGGTTCTGGGACAAGAGCTTCCGCGTCTACTCTACTGATACAGGTGACGACCCCCCCACCACCTCGGTTGTCTGTGGAGACACTGCCTCCCCTGCCGTACACAAAAGAAAAGGGTCAAAAGTCACAAATGAGCCTGTAGACTGCATTACAACTCCATTGCCCCAGGGCTCAGATAGATTTCTCATCTCGCGGATGGACCATGACTCCATCTCGTGCAAAGATGAGGCTCAGAACGCAAGTCATGCAAGCGGAACTTGAATTTCAATAGAATCGCACCACACTCAAACGCTCTACACACAAACACCTTATCTCTCAAATGCTTGATGTTTGTTTGTCTTATGCATTATACAGATGTTAGCATGCACATGCAGTTCTCCAAAAGCAAATATTTAAAGTGCAGTAAGAATTGGGGTGTGTGTGTGTGAGATCATCTGGCGTATGTAAACGGCTCAGCACATAGTAACATCTCAGTGGAGTCATTCACTCGAACCCTGCAGGGAGTACTGCTCTGGAAACTGCTGGCCTCATGAAGATCTAACTAAACTAACTAAAATCCTCCACAATCAAATTCATATATGTATATACAATACAGTGATGGCCAAATTTATTAAAACGGTTAGATTTTTTAATGTTTTAAAAGAAGTCTCACCAAGGCTTCACTTATTTGATCCAAAATACAGAAAAAAAAACTGTAATATTGTGAAATATTTGTAGAATTTAAAATAACTTTTCTATTTGAATATAATTTAAAATGCAATTTATTCCTGTGATCTGTTTTCAACATGGATAATATTAATAAATCTTTCTTGCGCATCAAATTATCATATTAGGATGATTTCGGAAGGATCATGCAACACAGCTTTACCAACACAGAAATAATTTTTAACTTTAAAATATATTCAAATCAAAAACCGTTATTTTAATTTTTTTGTTTAAATATTTCACAATGTTACTGTTTTTGCTGTATTTTGGATCAAAGAAATTAAGCATTGGTGAGCACTAGAAGAGACTTCTTTTAAAACATTAAAAAAAATCTTACTGTTCTAATTATTTTGGCCACTACTAATATATATATATATATAGTGCTTTGTACATACCCAACACCACACACATGCAATAAGTGGTTTACCTTGCTGTGTTGTTGTGTGTTTACAGGTAAACTAACACAGATTGTGTTTGGGCATCTTGATGTGGTGACCTGTCTGGCTCGCTCAGAATCCTACATTGGTGGAGACTGTTACGTCCTCTCCGGCTCCAGAGACGCCACCCTACTGCTCTGGTACTGGAACGGCAAGCACAGCAGCATTGGAGAGAACCCTGGGAGTAAGTTGTAAATGTTTAAGTCACGTACAGATGTGTATGTGTGTTCATTCAAAAATGAAAATGATGCCATAATTTACTGACCATTCGTGTCAGTTTTATTGTCTATAAACAAGCAAATTGCACAAGATAACTCCTTTTGCGTTCCACATGGCATTTTCAGTTTTGGATGAACGGTTCTTTTAATGAAGGCTCCATAATGTGTCTGAACAAACGATTTCAAAAGAGTCTCTAGAGTTCCTCATGTTGCTCACATAGAGAGGTCAAGATCAGGGTAACGTTCAGAACCCAAATCCCCAACCAGAGCTTAGTCCTATGTCAAACACACATAGGAAAAGCTTTCATGCAGGTGATGATATCAATGCAACGCAACAGTGTTAAAAGCTCATTGTTCATACACACACATTCCAGTGTGTGTCTGTCAAGGCCAGTGTAATGATTTACGGCTCACTCTCAGAAGCTACAACTAGTTTCATCTGACCACAGCAGGTCTCTGCTCAGAAGATTGAGTTTCAGGCTAGTATCACACCATAAATGGAATCGGCCTGTGTGTGTGTGAGTGAGTGAAAGTGGAGGCCAGAGGGCCACAGAGGGAGACAGTAAATGTGACTCGGAGGTCTCCGGCTCGGGAGAGTTCAGTCCCATCTATCTGAGAGAGCAAGAGAACACTCAATAAAAGTGAAAAATGCCATGGGCTTCCCCTGCGCACACTAACCATATGGCTGCGGTGCTGATCAAAGCCCTCTACGCGCACACCCTCGCAAAAACACACACTTCCCCTTTGCTAATTTGGAGTTTTTGGATGCTCTACATGCTGTTAAGTGCCCTCTTACAAATGGGGCTGGATTTATGACTAATTGTGATTTAGGTAATGAGTGTCTAAAGATAAGCACGACTAGTAGATGGTTGCCATCAGTGACCTTAAAGAGCCTACGAGTCAGACTTTCATCAAAATCTAAAAAAAAAAAAAATCAGTCTGTCACGATCAATAAACTTTGCAGGAATTTGTTCAAACTTCCATAATTGGTTAACAATAATATATATATATATATATATATATATATATGAAGAGTTCAGATGCAAAAGCCTCTAAATGCCATTTGAAATTTTCTTCTTTAATGATGACTTTTATCAAACTTGTATATTTAAGTTCAGTAATTTCACTTAAATAACAATTAATAGGTAATTATCATTGCCATTTAAATGAAATCACTGAACTTAAATATACAAGCTTGATAAAAATGATCATTCTAGAAGAAAATTTCAAATGGCACTTAGAGGCTTTTGCATCTGAACTCTTCATATATATATATATTTTTTTTTTTTACTAATTATTTTGTTTAATGACTTCTTTTAAAAGAATCAAATTCAAACATTACATTTTAATCAAAATTCACAAGTTCTTTGGTACTTTTTAAGTCAACGTGATTCGTGGTTCTGTAAGTGAGTCATGTTAATTCAGTCAATGATTTGTTAGAATGATTCAAAACAATCAGCCAGCATGAGTGAATGTTTGTGAGCCATTCATTAAAAGAATCAGCTTATAGGAGTCATTTGTTTACAAGTCTGTATGTCTGCTTGTGTGTGCAGCCAAAAAAGACAATGCTGCAATCCCACAACTCATGTCAAAAGCGGTGCTGTAGATTCTGCAGAGGATTTTTAGAGCTAAATAGCAATTGCTGGTCAGCAATAATGACTATTTTATTTTTTGCTATTTGTTCATTTCTTTCATTCTGACATAGTTCTTCGTTTCAGACAGGAATGAAGTTACAGTATGATTTCAAACACAGAGTTGTTTTATATCCATCCAGGCTTTTCCCGGGCTGTGTACTGTGAAGAATTGTTGAATTGATTCTGTTGACCACACTGCCATCTAATGACCAAATCATGCATAGCCCTGTCATGAAGCCTGCTTTTTGTAACTAATCCAATCTGATGCGGTTTCATTTGCAAATATTACTGGAAAAAAAAATCTAGAATTGTCTTCTGTTTTCTGTTTATGTATTCATTTTCTCTCTTTCTTTCTATGAGTAAATGATACTCTCTAGTGCACATTTGCTGTACAGATAAATAGTATACAGTATATATATAGGTATTAGATTGTAATCAGATGTTGTCCTAATGCGAACCAAATGGTGGCCGATGACGGGGAGGTTAAACGATACACCAATATATCAGTTTTATTGATCTTTTCAGGGCACAATCCGACATCAGGCTTTAATCCCCAGAGTTGTAGGGTATAACTCAAAGCTGAGACATTTAGGAAGTTTGCCACCTAATGAAACCTATACATCTACACTCTATGTGTGTGTGTGTGTGAGAGAGAGAGAGACCGAGTTAAAGAAATTAAATGTACGACTTCTGTTTGTCCAGATAAAAAGTGACAATCTATTAGTTCATTAACTGTTATTTGTGGCATTACCTGATCCACATTGAAAGGCAGGTGTTTGTGTGAGTGATAGACAGAAAGTGCACACGTAAATCCAGCAGAGCTCATTAGACTGATTGAAATAGGACGCACACACTGTAACACAGGTACTGTATAAGTGTCTGATTGCAGTAATTACACACGCTATTACATTATCACAGAGTAGACAACAAATAAAAACCTCATTTAAACATTGAGATTGACTGTCGTGTTACTGAGTGAAGTTATTACTGTATGTTTTTTGAATTGTTTTTATTATTTGTGCTCCCTTTTTGCGATTGTATGAACTATTTTTGATCAACTCTGCGTGCGTCTCTCCAGCAGAGTTTGTGACTCCTCGAGCGATCCTGACTGGTCATGATTGTGAGGTGACGTGTGCGAGTGTGTGTGCAGAGCTGGGATTGGTCATCAGTGGCTGCAGAGGTAAAGCAAACGCAAACACTGAGCAGATAAAGTGTTGCTTGTAGAATTAATTTCATAATTCATTTTTTAAATTGTATTTATAGTTAATTCATCTTATGTATGTATTAGTTCATTTGGGTTTTAGTTATATTACTTGATTTTGGTCAAAGTTGTCTTTTGCATGGGAGCAGTGCACATATAAATCTACTTCAGTGCCACTTTACAAAATTGTCCTACATATTCAACATTTTCAAATGAGTTCCTCAAAATTAGCTTAATATAGTACCATACTTGATCAAGATGTGAGACATTAACATTTTATTCATGACGGAGATTTGCAAAATTGACAATGTTATTTAAAGCCTGTGTTTTTAACTAAGATCAAAACACATTTTAGTTAACATTAGTTAACTACATTAGTTAGCATGAACTAATAATGAACAGCACTTATGCAGCATATATTAATCTTTGTAAATGTTAATTTCAATATTTACTAATACTTTATTCAAATCTTGTTAACATTAGTTAATGTGCTGTGAACTAGCGTGAACAAACAATGCTTTATTTTTTATTAACTAACATCAAAAAAGATTAACAAATACAGTAACAAATGTATTGCTCATGGTTAGTTCATGTTAGTTAATACATGAACTAATGGACCTTATTGTAAAGTGTTACCCACATTTTTAAGTATTCATGAGTGTAATTAAGGCCCCAGTACCACAATCTCTAGATTTTTTCTTCCTTCCAATTTTTTTGGTCAATTATTAAAATATTCGTGCCCTGAGTACTGTAGGCGCTAAACCTTTTGTACATGACAGGAAAATGACTGTCTATGTATATCATAATTCTTAAGATATCTATCCTAAACAAATGTGTTTGGGGATGAAGAAATATTGCAAATGTTAAAATCAACAGACCTTTTTAGGTCCCACATAACATACAATTTGGTGCAGCAACACATTGTAATTGTATCTGATTTGACCCTAATGTTTCTGTATGTGTGTGAAAACAGAGGGTCCATGTCTCGTCCACTCTATGAACGGTGACCTGTTGAGGACTCTGGAGGGTCCAGACGGCTGTGTGCGGCCACGTTTGGTTATGTCCTCCACCGAGGGTCACTGTGTCATTTATTATGACAAGGGCCACTTCTGTGTGTTCAGCATCAACGGGAAACTACTTGGACATATGGAGGTGGAAGACAACATCAAGGTAAACATGAGCGTAAACTATTACAATTATGCGCAATACTGTAGGAAGCAAGGCCAACAAGTTGGGCAGCCCTCGCATGTCCATTTGTCCCTCTTTTTTCTTTCTCTCTTTCCATTTCTGTTCTCAGCCTGTGTTTTATCATGTCAGCTGTCTGGGGATGTGATTAAACGCTGGCATGATCTGCCTACGGGCCTCGCTCTTTCCTCTCTCCATCTCTCTTTCTCTTGGCTTCTGAACCCTGAGGGTCCGAATCTGTCCTTTGATCTGCAGGGTTACGAAATGTCACTCAACCTGCATGTGTGTATGAGAGTGAGCAAGAGAGAGGAAGGGCCAATTGCGAGGCCTCCTGCATTAAAGGACACATTTGTCATTGGCGGGCAGAGCTCCTAAAATCGGCCAGCTCTCTTTCCCTCATTCCCGCTCCATCACTTTCTCTTTCCTCGGGGCCTGGGAAAATTCACAGAGCTCTGCATCTCCGCACCCCCCCTCTCTCTCTCTCTGTCCTGCACACACATACCCACACCTGCATCCCATTTAACAGGCCGGCTCTGTTACGTGCTCCTCTGCTCTCTGCTGCTCCGAGCTTGATTAGTTTCCTCATTGTGTCCAGGCTCCATTTGTTTTCAATAAACAGAGCCTGCAGTGACGGAGAAGAGGGGTGGCTTCGCTCTTTAACACACTTCTTTATTATTCAACCAATATGACATAATGGAGGATTAGTCTGTTATCTTATAGAATCATGATCCTGGATTTATTTTGTACATTTGTGTACTAATGTTTTAAAGATACATTTGCAGTGATCGTTGTACAGTACTGTTCAAAGGTTTGGGCTTTTTAAAGAAATGAGTGATTTTCTTCAGCAAGGACACATTCAGTTGATCAAAAGTGACTGTAAATACATTTGTAATGTTTCAAATTTCTATTTCAAATACATTCTGTTTTTTGAACTTTCTGTGCCTTAAAGAATGCTGAAAAACGATTAATGTTTCCACTTGGACACTTAAGAAGCCGTTTTCAACATTGATAATAATGTTAAGAAATGATTCTTGAGCACCAAATCTGAAGGATTGTGCGACACTGAAGACTGAAAAATTGGCTTTCCCATCACAGGAGTAAATTACATTTGTATTATTAAAACAGAATATAAAATAGAATTGAATAGAATACATTTATATTAAAATAGAAACCAGTTTTTATAAATTGAAGTAATATTTCTTAATATTTCAGTGTTACTGTCTGTTTGATCAAATAAATGCAGTCTTCGTGAGCATTTAAAGGATTAGTTCACTTTTGAAAAAACTTTTGCTGATAATTTACTCACCCCCATGTCATCCAAGATGTCCATGTCTTTCTTTCCTCAGTCGAAAAGAAATTTAGGTTTTTGATGAAAACATTCCAGGATTTTTCTCCATATAATGGACTTCAATGGGAACCGGATGGTTCAAGTATCAAAAGACGGTTAATAACTGTTTCAGATGCAGCTTCAAATGTCTTTAAACGACACCAGACGATGAATAAGGGTCTTATCATGCGAAACGATCGGTTATTTCAAAGCTTATTCCAAAAATGTAACTTTTATAAGGACAAATGCTAGCCTTGCTATATTCTCTGAGGCGCGTTTGTAACGTCACGTAATACGTAATTACGTTCAAAAGGTCACGGGCGACGTAGCCGGAAGTACAGAATCAAAATCGTCCGGCATGGTTGTTTTTCCTTTTAATTCCTTTTTTTGTAAACGGTGTTTGAGTTAGTTTGCACGTTCAACCTATGCGTTCAACTTGTAAACACTCTGACTCTGTACTTTCGGCTACGTCGCCCGTGACCTTTTGAACGTAATTACGTAATACGTGACGTTGCAAACGCGCCTCACAGAATATGGCAAGGCTAGCATTTGTCCTTATAAAAGTTACATTTTTGGAATAAGTTTTGAAATGACCGATCGTTTCGCATGATAAGACCCTTATTCATCGTCTGATATCGTTTAAAGACATTTGAAGCTGCATCTGAAACAGTTTTTAATCGTCTTTTGATACTTGAACCATCCGGTTCCCATTGAAGTCCATTATATGGAGAAAAATCCTGGAATGTTTTCATCAAAAACCTAAATTTCTTTTCGACTGAGGAAAGAAAGACATGGACATCTTGGATGACATGGGGGTGAGTAAATTATCAGCAAAAGTTTTTTCAAAAGTGAACTAATCCTTTAAGACTTTCAAAAACTTTGGAGAAAAAACAATCAAACTTTTGAGGAGTAATGTCGATATACTAGACAATTGAATTATTGTCCTTGTTCAAAGCCAACATACATTTTGGTATAATTTATCTTAAATCAGACTGATAAATAAGAAACCGATAATAATGAAAAGTTTTACAGCATAAGAGATTTCAAAATAGGATCATTTTGAACGTTTGTGTGAAATAAAGACAAACTCCTTAGACTTTCATTCGTATTCGCGCAAACAGGAGAATGGAAAACCAAAGGTTATGCAAATGTTACATTCGCCTTCACATTTGTTTAACTCTGACCTACAACTGTTTGTATAATGAGAAGATGTGACAAATAGAGGATATAAACATCACAGATTGACCTCTTGCACTGAATTTAAAGTACACAAACTTCAAAACGGTTTGCAGCATTGTGGGAAAGTGGAGTAGATGAAATATTCCCCCCATTTTGAGTGTTTATTATTATTTTATTGGTGATCTATTCAATAAAGCCCTAGTGCATTCTTAGTCTGACTACGGCTTTAAAGGTATTTTATTTATTTTTTGTCATTCACTGAAGCAGAATGATACTCAATTCAAACAAAGTCCCATTCTAACCAATCTTATCTTACTAAAATGTCCCCAATCAAAAACAAGGCTGCTTTTGGCAAGTTTTAGTTTGACAATTAGCGAATTAAAAAACAACATGAAGTCACAGAAATATTATCCCTGATCAATTATTCCAATCATTTTCAAGTACTCAACTTCTCTTGCCCATCTCTGACCTCAACAAACACACACATACACACACACTGTGACACAGTAAGCTCCTCTCATGCCAGATGGAGTGTCATCTTTGTGACAGTGTGTGTGTGGAGAAGAGGGTGTATGTGGTTTTGTGTATGAGTAAGTGGGTTGCTGGGACAGTTTGTTGCTGTGGTTAAAGTGAGTCTTCATGCTGATGGTCTGACAGAACATTCATTTGGACAAGTAGAAATAATACATGAATGACTCTCTGGAGCCCACAACTGAGCGTATGTCTGTTAGTAACCATTTTAGCAGACATTTCCCGAGCCGTCTGCACATACGCAATAGACTGCATTAAAGTCTTCATAAATCCAGTCCTTACTTGTGCCAGACATATCCTGACCTAACAGACAGATCAGGAGAGAGAGAGAAAAAAAACAGTGGGGCATCATCCAACACAACCCATGTTGTTTAAAATCACAGCTTGACTTTAAGTCAGATATCTGAGTCACGGCAGCCATCTTGGATTCTGGAATGGCAGCCCTGGAGGAGAGCACTGATTTATGATTTTGACCCAGCCCGCTCTGCAACCTGGACATCTCTGCTTCTCACAGACCCTTTTCCAGACATGGTCCAGAGGGACCACCGTAGATGCTGGATTATGTACTGTTATATTTTCTCAGACATCTTTGAAGCAATACGGCACATTAGAACAGAAGCAGTGACCAAACAACATCTCAGAGTGAGTCACAGGGTGGAGTTTGAATCTGTTCACATTGCTGGATTTTGGGATGATTCATATTACGGACTTCTGGACAATAAAGGAAAAACAAAAGACGTGCATAACTTTGAAGAATCGCTTTATTCTCCGGCTGTCATTAATTGAGACATAGTTGAGACAGTCTCTGGTGATTCTTCCCTTATGTACAATTCAGATTCCATATGTCTGTCCTGAGCCTCTGCTTCATGCCACGACTGACATAAAGGGCTTAAGTTTTTGTAACCTGAAACCTAATTACACACATCTCAGATACATCCAAAACAAATCAAAAGAGGTCACATGCACGCAAATGCACTCAGATCCCAGCTGCTGTAACGTCTGAAGTCTGCTGGACAGCGATCTAGCAGAACAGTCTCTGTGATTGATACTGGCTATTTCACCCAGGATTGTGCTAGTTGGGAATTAGGATTGTGTGTGTGTGTGTATGAAATTAGGTGTGTGTGTGTGTGAGAGAGTGTAAATAATAAACAATTTTCTGGGAAAATGGGGAGGCTGGACTGGACAGACCAAAGCAAAGAAATATACTAACCCCCAATAAACCCCATCTGGCACACGATCAAGGCACCCTAACCAATCTTGCAGCTGGTGGTTCGCCCAGGTCTCTTGCCCTGATGTTTCTAGACAGAGAAATATTACCTACGGGTGATGTATACCCCGGGATGGCTCTAAATCTGCTCCCTAACTCCCTATGAACAACAAAGAAAAAAGGTAATAAACACAAATTATAAGAATCCACAAACAAACAAATGCCCCATCCTGCTGTTACAACTTACAAAATGGAACACAAGCTGGGGTTTGCAAACACACAAAAAGATTTTAAAACTATTGTCAAATGTTCTAATCAAAATGTCAGAGAAGTTGTCTAAATGCCATAAACATCCCCACGCAGGGTACGAACTAAACCAACAGCAGGAATAGAGAGAAAGAACTGATCTATAACTGGGCTTTTAAAAGAGCCCAGATGGAGTTCCAAGCATAGATATCCATAATAAAGGCTAGATTTCTCGTTCACGCTGCTGGCCAATGGAGGTCGATGTCCGTGCATGGCGGCCATCTTGTCACAGGCAACTCGCTCACTCGTAACATTGTGTTTTAATGGTGCATGTACTTTTTAAATCACCATAACTTGCTCAATTTTCTACCGATTTTCAAACGGTTTGGTTTGTTATAAACGTCAGAGATGTAGTTATGATACTGCATACTTATGAATAATAAGTGTATAAATAATCAATCATCCAGAATTATAGCCACGTTAATGACGTTTGTAAGAAACCAAACCGTTTGTAAATCCGTCAAGATTTCAACGAGATAAGAGTATTTGTGTTCATGCTGATCACTCATCTTACATCAGCTTGCCTGTGACAAGATGGCCGCCGGTGATGACGATAGAAACTCCGCCGTAAGACATCTAGCCTTTATTGTGGATATCTATGGTTCCAAGTCCCAATCAGCCGTTGTACCACCGATCAGCTGCCGGATCAGTCACAGAAGCCATCTTGCATGTTAGAAAAAAAAACCCGCAAACACACAAACCACAAGCAATACCAGAAAAAAATACAGTGACATAACAGTGCATACAGGGCATAACAGTGTGTGTGTGTGTGTGTGTCTGTTTGTTTGTTTATGGGGACCAAATGTCCCAAAAAAATTGTAATACCAGTACATTCTTACCTAATGGTGACATGTTTTGGTCCCCATGAGGAAAACAACTTCTTAATCATAATAAATGAAGTGTTTTAAAAATGCAGAAAGGTTTCTAGGCTTAGAGTAAGGGGATTGAATTTACAGTTTGTACAGTATAAAAACCATTATGTCTATGGGAAGTCCCTTTAAAACATGAGTATGTCTGTGTGTTCCGTGTTGCTGTTTTAATTGGCCAGTAACTTTTGCTTAGGCAACACTACCTGGATAGTTTTTCAGGGTTAGCTTTGAAAGTCAAAGTCTTTCTAGACACATCTTGAAATCTGCACTTTAAAAATACTTATTACTACAAATCATGTAAAAAACAGTCAATATCTGGTGTGAGCACCATTTGCCTTACGCAGTGCAACAAATCTCCTTCGCATAGAGTTGATCAGGTTGTTGATTGTGGAATGATGGTCCACTCCTCTTCAATGGCTGTCCGAAGTTGCTGGATATTGGCAGGACTTGACACTGTCGTATATGCCGATCCAGAGCATCCCGAACATGCTCAATGGGTGACATGTCCGGTGAGTGTGCTAGCCATGCAAGAACTGGGATGTTTTCAGCTTCCAGGAATTGTGTACAGATCCTTGGAACATGGGGCCGTGCATTATCATGCTGCAACATGAGGTGATGGTCGTGGATGAATGGCACAACGATGGGCCTCAGGATCTCATCACGGTATCTCTGTCCATTCAAAATGCCATCAATAAAATGCACCTGTGTTCCTTGTCCATAACATACAGTACGTCTGCCCATACCATAACCCCACTGTCACCATAGGCCACTTGATCACAACATTGACATCAGCAAACCACTAACCCACATGACGCCATACACTCTGTCTGCCATCTGCCCTGTACAGTGGGAACCGGGATTCATTGGAGAGAGCACCTCTCCAAAGTGTCAGACGGCATCGAATGTGAGCATTTGCCCACTCAAGTCGGTTACGATGACGAACTGCAGTCAGGTCGAGACCCTGATGAGGACGACCAGCATGCAGATGAGCTTCCCTGAGACGGTTTCTGACAGTTTGTTCAGATATTCTTTGGTTGCAGCATCTGTCCGGGTGGCTGGTCTCAGACGATCTTGGAAGTGAAGATGCTGGATCTGGAGGTCCTGGGCTGGTGTGGTTACACATTGTCTGCGGTTGTGAGGCCAGTTGGATGTAGTGTCAAATTCTCTGAAACTCTTTTGGAGATGACTTATGGTAGAGAAATGAACATTAAATTCACGGGCAAAAGCTCTGGTGGACATTCCTGCAGTCAGCATGCCAGTTGCACGCTCCCTCAAAACCCCTCTAAGTATTAAGAATAATGATGATATTGCTGATATCTTAGTTATGGATAACTGAATTGACCAAAAAATTATAATTTAAAATTGTTTCAACCTAGCCTGTTGAAATAATTATACAAAATTGCTCCTGAAGAAAACAAGCGTTTAAGTAAACTAGTAGTTACTGAAAATACAGCCCTTGTGACAATTAGGTCTCCACTACAGGAAGCCAAAGTTCTCCAATCCATTCTAGCTTCTGTTGTGAGCATCACCTTCATAGTATCTCGATCTGTACATAAACCCCATAAAAGAAAATAACTGGTTAATGTAAATATTCAAGCTTATATATATTTAGTAGTGCTGTCAAATCCATTAATTGATTAATCGCATCTAACATAAAAGTTTGTTTATATAATGTGGGTGGATGTGTGTCAATTGATTAAAAAAGTAACTGCAGTAGATTAATCAAATTTTTTTTCTGTGAATAATCACTATTAAAAACACTTACATTTTTTAATAGATTTTATAATCTAATCAAACTCAATTATTTCACAGTTAATCTCCAAATTAATTTAGAAACATTAATGTACAAAATTATGAATGAAGGCCAGTAACACTAATAGAAATACTGATGCCTCAATGAAACGTATTTATATTTTTTTAAACATTAATTATAGCCATTCAACATTACAGTGTAATTGTTTTTAACATTTATTAGGCTTCAAGAAATGTAACAACTTTTAATATAAGTTGACTTTAAACAATCCCTTATTGTCTAACAGGTAGGAAATATACAGAAATTGAATAAAGTTATCAAACAGTCTGCACTGCATAAAATAAATTAAATATAGATTAATCCTTATTAAAGCTACAAAAGTTATTTAGTCAAAAGTAATTTTCTGTTAACTTTGTTGTTTGATCAACATTAATGACGGACAGCATTATTGGTCACTTTAAGATCTGCCGTCTCACACACCTCAAATTTTCTCATCATTTTTATTTAACTCATTTATAACTGCTCTTAAAGTGTGTCTGTGTGTGTGTGTGTGGAATGAAAGAGCCCAGTGTGTTTGCTGTTCTGTATTATCTGTGTTTCTCAGGGGACCTCTAAAGTGTTACATAGCCCATGTGCACACAGGAAAACCAGATGAACAGAATAAATCTCATACTCTGTCTGCCCTTCGCCGCAGGATACCACCGCTACAGCGGTTTAAGAAACAAACTGTTCGCCAGGTTGGCCCCGTGCATGCTGGGAAAGATCGGGGGTTGTGTGGCTTTTGATTGGATGAGGCAGGGCACACTCACTCAAGGTCCACAGGGGTGTCAGTAAACCCCTGTAATCACCGGCCAGCCGGATGCTCCAGACGTTTATCATCGGCTACAAAGACCTTATTCACTGAGCAGAGAACAAACAAAAAAAGCATATTTAAACCAACCATCAAATGCTTATCTGGGTTATTTATCATCTCGAAATTTGAAAGACCGACTAAAAGGTCAGGGGTCTTTTTGAGTGGTTAATTGCCTTTAAAATATTGCCTTTAATAAGTGAGGCTCTTGTGACAGATAGATTTTTTTATATTTATTGTGTGAAAAAAACATTTGCGTGACGCAAAACGTACTCATATGAACCCACCACTCTGACTTGGAAAATGAAAAGCAAAAAAATAGTTAAACTACACACAGTGTGTGACTGTCACAAACAGACGCACTGAGTGTCCTCTGTTTTGTGCTCCAGGCGATGCTGCTAAGTAAAGACGGACAGTATCTGCTGTCTGGAGGAGATTCAGGAGTTCTCAGCTTGTGGCAGATTCATGATCTCAAACAGCTCTTCACTTACCCAGGATGTGATGCGGGAATACGCTCTATGGCTATGTCACATGACCAAAGGTAAAATACTGTACATAACATAGACACCAACTTGGTTCCTGTTCCTTTACCAGACTATATATGACATTGGGGAGAGCAAATATAATCGTAACAGTATACTCGGTGTTATGTCTGTAATTGCACAATTCAATCTTATTCAAAGTCAAACTAAAATGTATTTAGACACCTTTAAAAATTTCGCTGTAGTTTAGAAAATGGTAATAAAATATGACAAGAACTCGAGTTATCAGATCAGTTGATATTTCAGTGGTTTTAGACTGTCTCACAAATGAATTAGGTTGCTGTTAGCTGTCAGCTGTTAAATTTAAGTATACAATTAGGTAAAACTGGACGGCAGGACGAGGCCGAGAGACGTGAGAGAACGGCGTGTCTCACAGGTGTCACTCTGTACCACTCACGCCACCGGCCTTGCACCTTTCTCTCACGTCTATCGGCCTCGTCCTGCTCGGGATAAATACCAATTTAGGTCAGCTATAATTACCAAGCAATGCTTAATGTTGTTCAGTCTGTGGTGTAAAATGGTCGCATTAGCAATTAAAGAAAAATCACTGAAACAAAACATGGTCAGGTCAAAGTGTCTGAATACATTTTGGTCCCAATTTTTTATAAATTTTACTGGTAGTCCACTTTATAAAGAATTTTGGGGTATAATATAATGATTACTATATACAGTATGAAGAGTTCAGATGCAAAAGCCTCTAAATGCCATTTGAAATTCAAAATATCAAACTTGTATATTTAAGTTCAGTAATTTCACTTAAATTACAATTAATAGGTAATTATCATTGCCATTTAAGTGAAATCACTGAACTTAAATATACAAGCTTGATAAAAATGATCGTTCTAGAAGAAAATTTCAAATGGCACTTAGAGGCTTTTGCACTGAACTCTTCATATATATATATATATATATATATATATATATATATATATATATATATAAGAAAATGGAATAATACAATAAAATAATTAAAAAAATAATACTTAACACTTATATTACTTCAGTTTGCATATATATATATATATATATATATATATATATATATATATATATATGTATATATATTGTAATCATTATTTTACTATTTTACATATATATATATATATATATATATATATATATATATATATTCATTTTGCACCAGAGTTGTCTTTTAATATCGTTCTTCATACTGGCTGCAAACTTTTGAATATTAGTGTATTTTTTGTTTTTGTTTTTCTGGTCTTATTTGGTACAGTAGATACATTACAAAGAATCAACAATGTTCCCATTTTTTATGAATGTAACAGCTTCCTCCAGAAAAAGGCTCCAGTAAAAAAGAAAATGGAATAATACAATAAAATAATTAAAAATAATAATACTTATAATAATAACATCTGTCTGAAATGTAGTCTAGCTTGAATGTGAGAATAAAATGACACACAAAATAGATATTTTGACAATTTGAAGCCTTTTCATGTACTATTTGTTCCTTTTCATGTACACGTCTGCCTTTGGTGAACTTTTAGTTTCTAGTTTGTGTACCAGACTTGATAAGGTTGTATAATTGGGATTAGCAATGATCGCTGACATTTCAAAGTTGTTTGAGACAAAATGCCAAAGATCTATTCTAAATGGGAACAAATAATCTCTAAATGAACTCCAGCAATCAATATATCTAAGCAATATTTATCTGATACTTACTGACACGTCTCTTTCTCCTCTTTCTTCGTGAATCTCTTTCAATTCATCGCCCTTTGCAGATGCATAATCACCGGAATGGCGTCTGGTAGCATCGTTCTTTTCTACAATGATTTCAACAGATGGCACCACGAATACCAAACTAGATACTGACCAGTGACGACAGAAGGGAACACAGCAACCATGACAATGGAACAAGCGAAGCCACCGCTCATAAAGGCACTACCAATAGTCATGAATGTATTCAAAATATTTCAAGAAGCAAAACTATTTTTTAAAGATGGCATTGCTATATTTTGTAGATCTTATGGAATTTCTTACTATATAAGTCCTAGGGGAGGGGTTATATACCTAATATTTGGAGGGGAAATTATCTATTTTTAGCAGTCAAATTCCGTTTTCACCTTTGCTCTAGTGAAAAAGACTGATCTGAGTGGTCAATAGCTAAGTGACTATATTTAATTCTAGTATCTATGATAGATGATTTGTGTGTTTGTGTAACTTTGGGCAGGTGTGTTTGTTTGTTTGTTTGTTTTCAGTTGCAGTGATTAATTTAACAGGGTGTCTCTAAATTCCATGTTTTGTAGTTTAATAGCACAGTTCCTGAAGCTGAAAGAAAGCTGCCTCATGTTTGGGAGAAATAAATCACTCTTCCAAGTGGAACTATTCAATGATATTCCAAAATAAAATTAGATAGCTGTCTGCAGACATATCAAGGCATCCACTTTAAATGTTCACTTTATAAATGGAGAAGTGGCATTTTCTAATGAGAGCTTTTTTTTGTAAACATGAATGGACTTCTTATGTGATCATGTAATGATGTCACTTTATAAACTGAAGGGGCGGAATCTGCATATGAACGGAGAGTAATGTAGAAATTATTTTATCCTTTTGGTTGGAAAGAAGTCGTTTGGGGTGTTTGTATCTATCTTTTTATCTTTTTGTTTGTCTATTGTGAGCTCCATATCAATCAAGTGTTCCAGAACTAAATACATTTTTCTTTTCTTTGAGATGCAAGAGATAACGGTAGATTAAGGAGGGGGAAATATTCATTTCTGTTTAAAGTGTCATCAAAAGCATTGTTGAGATTTCACCATTGTGCTTTTACCCTTTACCTTTGTGTATGTAGATCTGAGTGTGGACAGAGCGTAATATTATTAGGGATAATATTTGGATATTATAATAATATTATGGATGATTACTGGGATCTGTTAAGGTGAGCTCAAAACTGAAATTGGGGGGAATTAACTATATATGATTCATAAAAGCCAGCTCAAAGTATAACCCCATAGATTACACTCAGGGCAAGCAGTGGAAATACAAAGAAAAGTTTATATCTTGGTTCGAGTCAACTACAGTGTAATTCTGACACTGACCAATTCTGTTTGATTCAGTTGTTTTGTTTTAATAATGCTATCATTACTGTAATATGTTATATCTCAGCTAAAATCGAATGAGTGTCGTATGACGTGTGTGATGAACTCAAACAATAAAATGGCATTTTGTACCAATAAAAAAAATTTCAAAGAATTGTTTTTGTAAAGACCTTCAAATCCAGGGAAGCTAAGATCTAAGAATTAATATTGTAAGAAACTTGAAAACTGTTATTTTTGTATCATTAACATGGGCTACTATTACAGTATATATTTTTATATTTTATATTAAGTTTTAGTTTAGTCAAAGTAGGCTAACTCAATTGAAATATATATTAAACATTAAACTTTATTTCAGTTAAAGTTAATGTTATTTGAAATTATTTATTCAATGGTTTTAGTTGATACCCATAACCCATGCTTGAAAATGTCATGAAACTCAGAATTAGGTCCAAATGTATTTGGGATGAACAAATCACATGCAATATACTGTGTTTCCGCTAGAGGGCACTATAGCTCAGTAGGGAGAAATAATCAATTGGGCGTACACCTGATTCAGTTCATCGGCTCTAGTAGACCCCAACGCCTGAACTGGGAGTGTAAGACAAAGGACATGCATTATTAAATTAGAGACAGCTCAAATCTGTTTTATGCACTAAACTTAAATGAGATGAGATTATAAGAAATCAACATTGTCAAATGATCTGTATCACGAGGGTCTAGGTTTGATTTTGACTGGTGGGGACATAAAAAAAATATCCCCCTGCCTTTATTTAGATATATTGTAGCCAAAATTCATAATGGGAGGGGTTTTTTTTAATAATATTTATTTATTAATTTAATGTTGGAGTTAATTGACAATTTTGGGTATGCAAACCAACATTACAGTTTAGCTTTCTGTACTTCATGCTAAAATAAGTAAGCAAGCATACGATGAAAACTGAAGAGAAGAAAAATGTTCAGGGATTGACATAAATGTACACAAGTGAATAAAAGGATTAGTTCACTTTTGAAAAAAACTTTTGCTGATAATTTACTCACCCCCATGTCATCCAAGATGTCTTTCTTTCCTCAGTCGAAAAGAAATTAAGGTTTTTGATGAAAACATTCCAGGATTTTTCTCCATATAATGGACTTCAATGGGAACCAGACGGTCCAAGGTCGAAAAGACAGTTAATAACAGTTTCAGATGCAGCTTCAAATGTCTTTAAACGACACCAGACGATCAATGAGGGTCTTATCATGCGAAACGATCGGTTATTTCAAAACTTATTCTAAAAATGTAACTTTTCTAAGGACAAATGCTAGCCTTGCTCTATTCTGTGAGGCACGTTTGTAACGACACGTAATACGTAATTACGTTCAAAAGGTCACGGGCGACGTAGCCGGAAGTACAGAATCATGAGGTGCGTTCCATTCGACAGGGTCCCTACGCAGTGTTCACTGCTCCCTACTCCCTGAACACGGTATATCAGTTGAAGTGGACTTCACTGACTTCCTGTGAAGTGATGTACCGATGTTCCCTTATTCCCTATGCCGTTTGCAGTGCCCTTCGAACTAAACCTGTTCGTTCCCTTCGAATTGGAATCTCATTTAAGATGGCGAAATACCCTGTGAAGTCCACTTCGCAGTCAACTTACGGTCGAATGGAACGCACCTAAAATCGTCCGACATCGTTGTTTTACCTTTTAATTCCTTTTTTGTAAACGCTAGTTAGTTTTGAGTTAGTTTGCATGTTCAACCTATGCGTTCAACTTGTAAACACTGACTCTGTACTTACGGCTACGTTACCCGTCTGTCACCCGCGCTGTTCTATGTCAAAGTGCAACTCGCGTAAAGTTGATAATTTCGCGAATAACTGCAATTGTGGCAAAAATGACATGATTAACCGCGTGCATGCCTCTGTATCCCTTACACACCATTTACTGCACACAACACTGTAAAAAATCTTTTTTATGATTAGTAATCACAAATTTTTTTTCTTTTGTCAAATCAACTTAAAAAATTATTTAGTTCAGATAACATATAATTTTGAGTTTCTGATGATTAAATCAATCTCCTTGATTGTATTAACTCACTTTTTCAATTTCAATGAACTTAAAATTTTAAGGCAACCAGGTTACTTACTTTTTTAAGTTAATCGTCTTGTCGACCGCGATCGACGGGTTGGTGATTCCTGTAACGTTTTACGGTCAATGACAAGAGTACGAATCGGCTGTCTCACAAACATAACAGCACATTTACATACAGTAACACACAAAGCCATAACACAGCGAGGGAGAAGAACTAAGTTACATGATATAATCCAACTACATATTTTACACCACTGACAAGGGAAAAGTTACTATCACTGTGTTTATGGCTTCTGGCTTTCTCCGGCTTCTCTTTCAAGGTAGTGACGAAACGCGCTCTGTAGCGCTGTTTGTTCGCTGTCGGTTACGGTAGAAACATGACGTCACAATATGTCAACCTTCATAGAAGGGGGTGTCCGCAGTTATTTAGATATAAATGTCTCATTCTAAGGTAATAAAAACATTTCGGTTTATTAAGTAAGTTCTTTATTCACCACTGAAAACATAGTTATGGATGTCATATTGTATTTCTGTTAATAGATACTCAAAATTATTACACATTGCACCTTTAAATATAACAGTGCATCACCACAATGTGTGAAAGGTTACAGTGCTTAATTAAAAAAAAAACGCCATCTTTTTCATTAAGAATGCACAAAGCCGTGAACTAAACACCAGGACATCTGAATTTGCTGAAAGAAAGGCCTGGATAATGCAATGCAACTAAAATGATGTCTTTTTACATTTTGGGCTGCTGTGCCAGCCAAGATCATTGCATGTGGTTTATTATTGACATTGGCTGAGCCTTGGTTATTTAGACTTTTTTAAATTTGTTCAGTTCTGGTTATGAAAAGTTGTTGGGTATAGACTAGATATAGGCTACATTGTGTCGTTGTGTCTCATTATACTGAAACTGAACTGTTGTTTGTTTTCATAAAACTATTCATAAAGCGTAATGCAACTATTACTTTGAGCAATAATATCAGGTGATAGAGCACTGTAATGATTAGTCACATTTATTATATGGCACTTTTTACAATGCAGATTGTTTCAAAACAGCTTTTTTTTTCCCCTTCAAAGCAGCAAAACAGTGAAATAATGAATTGTTTTCCTCTGGCCAATAAATGAACAGTCTATTATGATTCAGTCTTCAGCATTCAGAATATTTATGGATAAATAGTCATTCATCTCAAATCTATTGCATTTTAAAATGGTAATACTTTGTTGTTATATTGTGTCATTATGAACAGGGGGGTTTAATTCAATGAACAAATGGCCTTATTTGTGTATTCAAAGCAATTGGAAAAGTGGAAAGTGTTGCAAGAAAAAAGAAAAAAATATATATCACTGGTTGTGAGTTTTGACATTTGAAGTCTCATTTGAAGTGATTGTAAAAGAAAAAAAAATAATAAAAAAAACATCATAGCCTTAAAAATGCAGGCCTTTGACTGCCCTTAATGTTTTTGCCTTCACTAGCTATACACACTTTCTATGGCAAGCCGTTTGAACTTTTATTCATTTCCAAGATATGAATTCTTGATATCAACAATTGAATTCTTGATATCAAAAAATGTAATTGTTGATATCAAGAATTCATATCCTGGAAATGAATAAAAGTTAAAACGGCTTGCCATACACTTTCTGATTGCTAGCCTATATGATTTGTTGTAGCTTGCTGTTTATATTTTCCACTCAAACTGTTTTATTTGAATTGTTTCAATTATTTTGATGTTTGCCAAACCATAGTGGTATAATACATTTAAAGCGTCAACCTTTGTTTACATTTCGGTAAGAAGGATTTAGATGAAGCCTAGCCAAATAATAACTATCAAAAGCTAATTAACATCACACAGTTAAAATGCCTTCTTTTTTCAGATTAGTAAGATTCATCGTTCATTTATTGTGTTTTAGAGACAATTTAAGCAGTTTATCCAAGATGCTTTGGTGGAAGATTTTCATGAACGTTCAATACACACGTTTGGTGTGCCAAATAACACCGGCGGAGGGAGCCGCTGCAAGAAAAACGCAGCAATGAGTGAACTATATCGCCACGACGCCACCTGCTGGCAACATTGAGATTTTTTTAAAAAAATAATTAAATGATGTGCTGAAAATCACTACCACAATGGCGTGTGCCTCGTTTATCTTATAAGTGTGGCGCAAATTAAGGAGCCAGACTGAATAGCCCTGATGTAACTTTGTTGTAGATGTGTGTACAAATGTGTTACATACAGAGGAACAAGCTTATAGAGGGAGGGGACATCTTTATTCATTGATCAGTAAAACAATTTGCTCAATGAATGAGCAACGTCCTCTACAATAAACATCATCATCATCATCATCATCATCCAAAGTCTACAATACCAATTTAGCAGCAACATGTTAACATGGGGGAAACAGAGTGGTAACAAAGTAGTATCATTTAGAAAAAGTCACAGTTTTTCTTTCTATCTGTATCATTAAAAAGGATTCGCAAGGAGGATATTTTAAAAAGAGGTTTATTGGCGACTATGGACGCTACTGTTATTTTTTTGAACTATGGCATGTGCTCTATACTGAATACATGGGGAGATTTTAACTATACATTTAAACTCTAATATAAAGCACGTCTGTGTCACCATACAAATTTTTAGGAGATTCGACAAAAATATACAATGCTTTCACTTCACATTTGAAGATTTATAACACCACTAGGTTTTTTTTTCTCTTTTTGTTTATGGTAAATACAACAGTCCCATTGGTCAAACCAACCAAATGAAGGAGACACAACGTTAGTTATTCTACTCAGTAAGCTATGAGTGATTTAAATTGGTAAGAGGAATATAAATTAATATATATTAAGAAATTCCAACTGTAACTCCAAGGAAGCAAAGGGCTATACCGAGTATAAGTAATGTGACGGTATGTTTGATACAATAAATACACATGGTTTATAATGTGGCAGAAGAGAGTGTGTGTGTGTGTTTGTGTGTGCGCGCATGCTGGAAGAGATCATCTGTGTACACTTTGTGGGTAAGGTGTGTGTGTGTGTGTGTGTATAGAAGCAGCTATGATAGTGTGTGTTTGGTGTGTGAGGAGTGACCTCCTCTCTCAGCGAATCCCCCTGCAGTCTCCATAGTGATACTTTATCTCACCTTCACAAAGTCCAGGTGAAATGAGTTACGGCAGTCCAGAAAAACAGGTAAAAGAATGGCACAAAGAAAGACGCAAAAAAGTGAAACGTGTCGTCAGGGTGTGTTTGCTTTCCATTGTGGTCTGAGGTGATTTTTCCAAACAAAAAAAAACAAATGTAATCAGAAATGTCACAGTACCTAAAATGATGGCAAATAATAAAAAAAAAAAACCTCTAAAATCTATTTTTTGTCTTTTTTTTCTCCACTTCATAATAAAAAATAGGTTTGTTCTTTATCTTACAGTAATCCATTATCTCCTTTGAAGGAAAAAAAAAACATTAGTCCAACACTGACAAAAAAAGGTAAAACGGGGGACTTCAAACAAGGGGGAGGGGGGTGGGAGGTGAGGATGTATTTCTTCTTTTTCGTTTTTAGGATGGACATTTTGTGCAGCCACACTTGACGACCTTTTCCACCTCCTGTACAAAAGAGGATCCGTCTGTGCATTGGAAGGTGTATTTCCTGCGTTTGCTGCGGAGAGGGGCGCAGCAGGAGGTCCCGTCCCCACAGCTGCCCCGACACTCTAAACGGGAGACCTTCTCTGTGCTTTGGCACGCTGCGTAGCCCTGCTGCGTCTGATAGTGATCTCGGACCCGTTCCCCCCGACACGCCATCTCTACAGAGAGAGTGAGAGAAAGATTGAGCACTACATTGCATATATAGTATATCAATCGTGTTTGTTTTGTTTTTGTTTTTCATGAAATTTTGACTGGGAAATTGAAAGGTAACTCCTAAGAAAATACAAAGTGTGAAAGTAGAAAAAGGTAGAGGAGAGAAAATGGTTGTAGGGGCTGCAGGAATATGGGTGTCTCAAAGCTCGAGGTTTATTAGTGACTCAAGAAAGGAAGAAATTGAAGATGATCACTGACATGCATCCCTCACCTGGCGGACCTGAGTGGGGTCCACACCGCTTTCAGTAGCAGCTTGAAGGTTACAGGAAGTTTAAAAACGAACGTTAGTAAAAACAACAATAATAGTGTAGGATTAGCTCCTCACAGGGTTAGCACTTCAACAGAAAAATAAACAGAAGTTTAGAATGAAAGCACAACTTAACAACATACTGTGGAGGAATTAAAGACATTTTCGAAACATGCGAGCACAAGTTCCAGTACAGGTGAGTACCTGTCTTCATGGGAAAAATGAGACCATGCAAACGTGGAAAAATGGACCACATGTTCCAGATGACATGACTACTAGTGGTGATAAAATGCTATGACTTTTGTTTCCTATTGAGAAAATTAAAGATTAGAGGAGAAAGTTATTAGAAGATTTATGCCCCGTTTACACAAAGGGAAAACGCAGATATTTCCCTGGGGTTTGGCCTCTCATTTACACAAAAACCCTGTTTTTATCACAGGAAACGATTATTTAAAAAAACTCCGGGCAAGTGGATATTTCTGATAACGCCGGTTATGTGTTGCCATGGAGAAACAGGGTTTTAGGTTCTCAAACGTCACATTATGCGCCAGAAAATGCTTAACGTCATGTGAGCACCCAGTTTGGTATACAATAGGTAGACAAACAGAATGTGGCTTTTACCGCCGCGGTAAAATTTGGGGTGTATTTGCTGCGTTTTGCCACTAAGAGGCGCTACAATCACAGACATTGAAAAGTGTCCGTTTTGGCAGCAGATTAATTCAAGTGAAACGTAGTTAAATTAATTAGGCTAATTAATCACAATACTGATATTAAATTGAATAAATAATGAAAACTTAAAACAGTGCAGTAGAAACATATTAGGCTACATCATTATGATGCCGTACGACTGCGTATTTATGCGGGTTGATGTATGAAGTTATGTGCACAATGTTATTATTAAAAACGGGAGGGGGGAAATATTAGCCGGCTATGTGTAAATGTGGCCTTAGAAAATATTTTTATGGAAAATGTCCCACTTGTACCATAATTTGCACGAGTAGCTTAAATGCACTGCAAGTGCTCTAAATTATATATAAAAAATGCTATAGTCTCTAATTAAAATTCAATTTGAAATCCAATTTTACGATTTTATTATATTACTATACTGACCAACACAGCGCAGTCTCATCCCAAGACGTCATATAATGGTCTTGTGACCATACGTCAACATCCGCCTTTTTAGGGTACCCTTAAACGTCGGTTATGACGTTATCGGATCCTAATCCTACCCCAGACCTAAACCTACCCCTAAACCTACGTTAAAGGTAAAGCGTCAGTTGTATGACGGCCCGAGATCATCATCTAACCGACGTTTAAGGGGGCCCTAAAAAGGCAGATGTTGACGTATGGTCAAAAGACGTCCCGAGACGTCAGTTATATAACTTCTTGGGATGAGACTGTGTTAACCAAGACTAATATGTCAACCAAGTCTATAATATAGCCTATTAAATATTATCAGCTTATAATATTATATTTTTGGCCAATAACTGAAAAAAGGCCCATATTCAGATTCATTTGTCAATTAAAAACAAAACCAAACAAACACTAAAACCTATAATGGTTATAGGGATTTTGGCCACCATAATACACATACAAATTTTGAGATTTTTTCAAAAGCTTACTTCTATCAATGTTATTAGATTAATGATTTTAAAGATGAATTTTAAGTAAGCAATAGATGACAGCAAAGGTAAAAAAAAAAAAAAAATAGGAAATGAGCATGAGCACAATTAAAGATCAAATATCGACCAATATAGATACATTTAAAACAGCACAAATAACGTCCGATAATAGATATGGTACGACTACCGATACAGTGTGCATCCCTAGGTGAGGTTTAGGGAAAATACTTTCCTGCTGCTTGATTTAAAAGTTGATAAAACATTATTTCAAATTTCTTGTGGCTACTACAATATTTTTCAAAACTGTATGCAATGTCACATTTTTCTCTGATAAGATCAGGTTTCATTGAAAGGTTTCATACCTCTATCACAGCTTTGCCCCGTGTAGCCGCTGTTGCACTCGCAGTAGGCTTTCCCCAGCCCAGACACGCGACAGCGCCCGTGTTTACATGCTATGTACTGACAGGGACTCAACTGCTCCTCTTCATCACACAATACACCTGCAAAGCCTGGATGACAGCGACAGCTGTACGAGTACGAGTTTATGGGCAAACAGGAACCGTGGATACACCTGAGACAGACACACACACAAAATGACAAAAAAATTCATTTCCACTCTAAAATAATGAAACCAGTATGTGTGTGTGTGTGTGTGTGTGCATTTTTCGGTCTCTTACTTGTTCCCGTCACATGGGTTGTTGATCTGCTGGTCACACAGAGGGCCAGTCCATCCGGCCTCACACTCACAGCTGAAGGAGGATTGTCCGGTGGCATGGCACTGCCCGTGAGCGCACACACTTCTCTGGCAGGGCTGGCAGCCGGGCACCACCCCCTCCTGCAGCAGGAACTGAGTGAGGTCCTGGAGCTGATCATTAATGTAGAGGTTCCGGATACATCCGTGGAAACTAGAGCCGTTCCTCCCGGAGCTCTGACGCAATGAGGCCAATCCAGACTGCTGAGGGATTCCTGAGAAAAGAGGAGCTTTTTTAATTGCTATGAACTTATATTCTGGGAAGATCCAGAGTTGGAAGCAGACCTAACCACGTTTTAAAGTGACCGCTGTGTTGTACTGTACATACCCCCAAGGTAAAGCGGAGCAGGGCTAGGTGCTGGGCTGGGACTGCTGGCAGTGTTGATGGATTTGGGGCTTCCTCCATCAATAGACAGTGACAGAGACTGATCCTTTGCCACCAGCTCCACTACATGAAAACTGCCATCATTTATCGTCTCAACACTAGGGAGAGAGCAGAAGTGAACAGTGAGGGTAATCTCAAAATTAGAGTTTAAAGGGGTCATGGACTGGCTTTTTAAATGTTATTATATTGTTGTCTGAGGTCAACTTATAACGTTCGCTTGGTTTTTGCATTAAAAAACATCAAAATGAACAAGTAATAGGCTATTTTGTACCCTAGTTGTGAGCCTACCTAAAAAACAGTCGGTTTTTATGGGCGTGTCGCACTGAAGACTTGGAAGTAAACGCCCACTGCTGCGAGTGGATAACAGTTTTGCATATTATAATGAGTTTAACTCACCCGTCGGTGCACGTGGGGGAAAACGTCCTATGTTGTCAAATGGCAACCGGATTCGCCCAAACATGTTCAACCCAGAGTCCGTGTGTTGCACAATATTCCTGTCAGATCCAATATAGACGGCACAGCACCGTTCTTTACTTTTAATCGGTCTGCAAATCCAGTCTTGTTGACAAAACAATCCTCAGTGAAATGAAGCGAACAGACGACGATGTTTTACCTCATCAGCTGGAACGTCATAAAAAATAATTTTTATCCATGAAGTCCTATTGGAGTCCAGAGGAAGCTTATGCAGCGACTGTCTTGCACAACCAGGCACTGCACAATATTCTGTATTGCTCGGTAGATCCAGTTTGTCATCACGAGGTAAGCATGTACATGTATGATACTTATGTGTGTAATGCGCGAATCGGTGGGCGGGGCTAAACCTGCCGTGGTGAAGCAGGCAATGATCATCTTCTGTGGGGGTGGTGTTTTATCCTCTTTGTCGTCATAGTTCCCCACTTTTAAAAACGAGTCGTTTTTAGAGGCTGTGTCAATAAAAGCTTTTATTGGACTAACAAGGACGTTTTCAGTTCTGAAACTTACAGGATATTCTTATAATATGATGACCTGTTAGATGTCAAAAGCTCAAGGAAAATTTGATTTCTCAGTTCATCACCCCTTTAAAAAGGGGTCAATAATTTAAAGTCCCTGTAAAGGCAATTCTACAAAAAAAGTTCTAAACGCATTATAAATGTTGCATGTATTGCTAAAACATATTACAAAGACTGTGAACTGTGAAGTACTGAAATGTGTGTACAGTTTTTCACCCTTGCTATTTTACGGATTTTTTGGGCGGGGCTAAAAAAGGGCTCGATGACGCACTGGAGCCCAAGAGCTTGTGCCACACGCCCCAACTTGATGACGCATGTTGGCTGATCCATAGACAGGGGCTGATCTTTCCCCTAACAATAGAGCACATTTGCATTCGCCGCTCAATCGCGAACTACTGTCAGTGCTATTAGTTACTACAGTCTACAGTTTGCTAGCTTGCTATGCCTTTGACAAGGAAATACATAGGCTACTACCTGGATGCGATCATGTACAAAACAGATCGATGTCTTTATTTAAATTTCCTAAAAGGTAATCACATCAAGAAGAGAAGGATTCATTTTGTGTAGAGCCAACCTTGATGAAGAACGGAGGATCACCGACAGCAACACCCGCCTCTGTAGTGATCATTTTACTCAGGATCGTTTTATAAACTTTCCTTAGAGACAACTGGCATTCACTGATAATCCGATGCTGCTGGTGAACGGGGCCGAAACGACTATCTTCCGCCTCAGCGTTCATCCTCCCATTCCGAGACCAGTTTCACCTAATATCATCGTCTACAGCTTTCCCGCGAGTGGGCGTGGTTTCAGCACAGCCAGCGAACACGCCCCTAGCGTTTGAGAACAGAGATAACTGCTGATTTTTTCAAGATTTTGATAGTTTATTTTATGTACTTGCCGGCTTTTTTAATCATTCAAATTTGGCTGGGTGGCTAATATCACATTTTTCTGTGGAATGACAGACCAACCCGATCTCACGGGAATTCGTACGAATTTTACGAGGTGGCTAATTCGTAACAATTTGTACGACCTCACTCGTACGAATTAGTACGATTTAGCTAAATCGTACATATTTTACGAATTAGCCAATTCGTATGAATTCGTACGAATGACCTACCCCTGACCATAACCGTCACGTGGGTTTAGACAAATCGTACAAATTTGTACGAGTGAGGTCGTATGAATTAGTACGAATTAGCCACTTTTGAATCACTCGTACGAATTCGTACGAATTGGTCGTGAGATAGGGTAGGACAGACTCAGAACACATACTGAATTTTGACTTTACAGGGACTTTAAAAGTCATGTCATGAATAGAAATCTTTTCACATATAAGAGATCACTGTACAATAAAAATAACCTGAGAGTTTCAGAACCTCCAAATTACCTTGTGTTTCCAGAAACAGCTTTTATTGAAACCAAACTCAAACCAAACCGACTCGTTTCGGATTTTGTCACATTATTACGTCATAGTGCGATGAAAGGACGCCTCTGCAGAAGATCAACGCCCACTTCTACATCATTGCCTTTTTAGCCCCACCCACCAATTCACACGTCATGTAATAGTAAATACGAGAGAGACACAAATTCAGGAATACTCCAGCATTAAACGATTACAAGAGTCTTTGAAGTGCCACATTGTGTCTTTGCATTGCCTTCTTTGTGATCCTAACACTAAGAAAGTGTGGATGACCTTTTTTTTTTTTTTTTTACGAAGTTCCAGTCAGATCGTGTTAGTAAGACATGTCGCGTTGTTTGTTCGCTTCGTTTTACTGCGGATTTGTTTTTAAACTACACTGTTCGGTGCAGGCTTCTCAGAAAGACAGTGGATCTGACAGTAATGTTGCAACACACAAGTCTGAGTAACAGTGTTTTTACCATGTGTCACTATTGCTTTGTCTGAGTATTTATACTGTAGCACCACAGTCAAACTGTGAATAGTTGTGATTTGCTGTTTATTTAGTACAGTGGTCAGGATGGTAACGGAATAGAGGTGTACATGGGCTTCTCCACACATCTCCACACACACAACTGTGGTTACAAGAGGTAAAAACGGTATAAATACTGTTTGTTTTCTCACACAAACCGCTCGTTTCGTGTCTTAGGCCATCAATGTGTACTTAGATTTACGAGTCATTAAATCATGTTTAATTTGGACTTCACTGTGCATGCTCTTTGAGGTGGTGACCATAGACCTCCATTATACTGATAGACACGAACGGTTTGATCTAAAAATATCAAAATTGTAACTACTGTGGAAACAAAGACACGTACATCTTGGATGCCCTTGAGGTAAGCTAAAACATATCAAAAATGAATTTCAAAGTGAACTATCCCTTTAAAACTAGAGAGGGTCAAAAAATGATAGAAAGAAGCTTATTACTTCAACATCTAGATAACATTATAAGTGAACCTCAAAGAACATTTAAAAGAACATTTAAAAATGTAAAAAAAAAAATTATAAAAAAATGCAGCTGATGACCCATTTAAATTGATTAGTCTTCATAAAAAATTCTTCAGAAGATAGATTTTTCCTCATTACTGTTGAGAAAAAACAAGTGTTTAAGGTTTTGCTTAAACCAGAGATCTTCAAAAGGAGTCTGTGACCCTCTGCCAACTACTTTTTGATCTCAGTCTAATTACAGTTAAAAACTAAATTAACTCCTTAACCAAAGCTAAAGTTGAGTATAAAACGGAAGTTGAGATTCTTTTCTTTCTTATTATGATATGTTATCTATATGTTGAAGTAATAAGCTTCTTTCTATCCTTTTTATACACAGATGAGCCGTTTAATACTCAGTATACCACCGGTGTTTGGTACCGTGACGTTTGAAATGTTTTAGTAGCAACTTGGTACAACACTAGTCCTGATCTTGATTTAGCATATTGTAAAATGTATAGTTCCAACTCTAAATTCTGAGTGAATGAGCTGTTGTAAAATGCCTACAGTATCGAAATCGTGTGTACCTGTAGATGGCAGATGGAGGATATGATCCAGAATCATAACTGACTCTCAGTCTGCCTCTGTAGAGCTCCACAGCGATGTGTTCATTATCTCCTTTATACAGCAACACCCCATTATCCTCATCTGTGGCGATCTATTACACGCAGACAGACCACATGAGTGTGTGTATATGCGTTTTTCTCACGCACACACAAAAACACAAGCAGAATGATCTTTTTTTAAGACATGTACCTGTAGTGATATATTGGCCTGTTCTGTAATGAGGTTGGAGGGGATCTGCAGGAACGATTCTCTATTGATGAAGTTGACGCTGACCAGCCTCTCACAGTGCACGCCCTGGTAACCATGGAGACACTGACACACAGGATCTGTGTCCTTGACAACACACTGTGCACCATTGGCACAGTCATAGTGGTCACACGGACTTGTTCTCGGCAGGACCATTGGAGGAGAGAACTCGCAGAACAGCCCACTGTGCACACACACACACAGAGTGAGACACGTATTCCACATGGTAATCTCTGATGATTTAGTGTGTTTGTGTATTCATGCTCACCTGTATCCTTCTGGGCACACACATGTATAACCATTCACAGCATCAATACACTGAGCCCCGTTTTTACACTTATTATCTTCACAATCATCAAAATCCACCTCGCAGTGCTCCCCGGTGTAACCTGGAGTACACTCGCACCTACACAAACACACAAATGAAACAACATCATCACATTTAAGATTTAAAACTCACATCTTCATCTTTAACTCCCATCATTTCAAGGCTGCAGATTCACATTCAATAGAAATATACCATAGTTCTGCCAAAATAGCATGTTACAAGTATTCTTACTATACGGTAAATCCATGGTAAATGTTGGGGATTTGTGTATTGGAAAGCTTTTTAACTTGTTCGTTCAGGGTGTCAAAGTGTTTCCCCTTTAAATGCTGTTGAGAATGTCAGTGCTGTTTCATCAGGCTTTAAACTAGTTTAAATCACTGAGACATTTGTGTTTGATAACTGAATTGTTCACTGAATTCGTCATCAATTCTGAGGTGAATACACTTCTTACTGAATCAGCGCTGTTAAGCCATAGTTTAATAGAAACCACATATACAGTAGTTACTTTTTACTATAGTAGGGGAGCCATGAAGGGTTTACCTGTAGTTTTGATAAGATCAGTCGCACTGTCAGAATATTTACGTGTTGCCCTATCACTTAATGAGAGTAAAATTGAAAATTGAAGCATAGAAAGGTTTCATAGAAACCCCCTTCGCTAGCTTATAGACCATTTGCAAGATGTAAACAACACTGGTCCAGAAGCACTTCCTGTTTCAGTTTTATTAACACTACATAAAAGCTGGGATAAAATACAACCAACAGAACATTTAAAACTGAATCAAAAAGTTAAACAAACAACTTTAAGATGTTCTTTTTACATTTGAAATAAAGAAAACAGTTACAAAATGAAAAAGGAAGTGTTTCTGGACCAGTGTTGTTTACATCTTGCAAAGCAAATAGCTGTGGACTAAAAGCCACAAAACTTACTTTAATTGAAAGTAAGTCAAAGGGTTTTAAAATACACTTTTAGTAATTTAAGGTTTGGGGTCTAAAGTTAAACCCGAACATGCGAGATATCGAAACTCAAAATTTCGACCTGAAAAAAAAAACGACAGTGTTACCCCTTATGTTTTTTTTTTGGGCGAAAAATTAGGTATCCCCAATCTTCTCAAAACTCTGGATTCTGATAGAGGGCCATGAGACATAGACCTGAGTGCAACAATGGAGGTTCTAGACCTTTCCAGAGCTGAGATATCGAAAATCAAAATTTCGACCCGAAAAAAAAAACGACAGTGTTACCCCTTACGGTTTTTTTTTTTTTGGGCGAAAAATTAAGTATCCCCAATCTTCTCAAAACTCTGGATTCTGATAGAGGGCCATGAGACATAGACCTGAGTGCAACAATGGAGGCTCTAGACCCTTCCAGTGCTGAGATATCGAAACTCAAAATTTCGACCCGAAAAAAAAACGACAGTGTTACCCCTTAAGTTTTTTTTTTGGGGGTGAAAAATTAAGTATCCCAATCTTCTCAAAACTCTGGATTCTGATAGAGGGCCATGAGACTTAGACCTGAGTGCAACAATGGAGGCTCTAGACCCTTCCAGAGCTGAGATATCGAAATTCAAAATTTCGACCAGAAAAAAAAACGACAGTGTTATCCCTTAAGTTTTTTTTTTTTGGCGAAAAATTAAGCATCCCCAATCTTCTCAAAACTCTGGATTCTGATAGAGGGCCATGAGACATAGACCTGAGTGCAACAATGGAGGCTCTAGACCCTTCCAGTTCTGAGATATCGAAACTCAAAATTTCGGCCAGAAAAAAAAAACGACAGTATTACCCCTTACGTTTTTTTTGGGGGGCGAAAAATTAAGTATCCCCAATCTTCTCAAAACTCTGGATTCTGATAGAGGGCCATGAGACATAGACCTGAGTGAAACAATGGAGGCTCTAGACCCTTCCAGAGCTGAGATATCGAAAATCAAAATTTCGACGCGAAAAAAAAACGACAGTGTTACCCCTTACGTTTTTTTTTTTGGGCGAAAAATTTAGTATCCCCAATCTTCTCAAAACTCTGGATTCTGATAGAGGGCCATGAGACTTAGACCTGAGTGCAACAATGGAGGCTCTAGACCCTTCCAGAGCTGAGATATCGAAACTCAAAATTTCGACCCAAAAAAAAAAACGACAGTGTTACCCCTTACGTTTTTTTTTTTTTGGGCGAAAAATTAAGTATCCCCAATCTTCTCAAAACTCTGGATTCTGATAGAGGGCCATGAGACTTAGACCTGAGTGCAACAATGGAGGCTCTAGACCCTTCCAGAGCTGAGATATCGAAAATCAAAATTTCGACCCGTAAAAAAAACGACAGTGTTACCCCTTACGTTTTTTTTTTTTGGGCAAAAATTAAGTATCCCTAATCTTCTCAAAACTCTGGATTCTGATAGAGGGCCATGAGACTTAGACCTGAGTGCAACAATGGAGGCTCTAGACCCTTCCAGAGCTGAGATATCGAAATCAAAATTTCGACCCGAAAAAAAAAAACGACAGTGTTACCCCTTACGGTTTTTTTTTTTTGGGCGAAAAATTAAGTATCCCCAATCTTCTCAAAACTCTGGATTCTGATAGAGGGCCATGAGACTTAGACCTGAGTGCAACAATGGAGGCTCTAGACCCTTCCAGTGCTGAGATATCGAAACTCAAAATTTCGACCCGAAAAAAAAACGACAGTGTTACCCCTTATGTTTTTTTTTTCGGCGAAAAATTAAGTATCCCCAATCTTCTCAAAACTCTGGATTCTGATAGAGGGCCATGAGACATAGACCTGAGTGCAACAATGGAGGCTCTAGACCCTTCCAGAGCTGAGATATCGAAAATCAAAATTTCGACCCGAAAAAAAAACGACAGTGTTACCCCTTACGTTTTTTTTTTTTTGGGCGAAAAATTAAGTATCCCCAATCTTCTCAAAACTCTGGATTCTGATAGAGGGCCATGAGACTTAGACCTGAGTGCAACAATGGAGGCTCTAGACCCTTCCAGAGCTGAGATATCGAAAATCAAAATTTCGACCCGTAAAAAAAACGACAGTGTTACCCCTTACGTTTTTTTTTTTTTGGGCGAAAAATTAAGTATCCCAATCTTCTCAAAACTCTGGATTCTGATAGAGGGCCATGAGACTTAGACCTGAGTGCAACAATGGAGGCTCTAGACCCTTCCAGAGCTGAGATATCGAAAATCAAAATTTCGACCCGAAAAAAAAAACGACAGTGTTACCCCTTACGTTTTTTTTTTTGGGCGAAAAATTAAGTATCCCAATCTTCTCAAAACTCTGGATTCTGATAGAGGGCCATGAGACTTAGACCTGAGTGCAACAATGGAGGCTCTAGACCCTTCCAGAGCTGAGATATCGAAAATCAAAATTTCGACCCGAAAAAAAAAACGACAGTGTTACCCCTTACGTTTTTTTTTTTTGGGCGAAAAATTAAGTATCCCCAATCTTCTCAAAACTCTGGATTCTGATAGAGGGCCATGAGACTTAGACCTGAGTGCAACAATGGAGGCTCTAGACCCTTCCAGAGCTGAGATATCGAAACTCAAAATTTCGACCCGAAAAAAAAACGACAGTGTTACCCCTTACGCTTTTTTTTTTGGGCGAAAAATTAAGTATCCCCAATCTTCTCAAAACTCTGGATTCTGATAGAGGGCCATGAGACTTAGACCTGAGTGCAAAAATGGAGGCTCTAGACCCTTCCAGAGCTGAGATATCGAAACTCAAAATTTCGACCCGAAAAAAAAAAAAACGACAGTGTTACCCCTTACGTTTTTTTTTTTTGGGCGAAAAATTAAGTTTCCCAATCTTCTCAAAACTCTGGATTCTGATAGAGGGCCATGAGACTTAGACCTGAGTGCAACAATGGAGGCTCTAGACCCTTCCAGAGCTGAGATATCGAAACTCAAAATTTCGACCCGAAAAAAAAAACGACAGTGTTACCCCTTACGTTTTTTTTTTGGGCGAAAAATTAAGTATCCCAATCTTCTCAAAACTCTGGATTCTGATAGAGGGCCATGAGACTTAGACCTGAGTGCAACAATGGAGGCTCTAGACCCTTCCAGAGCTGAGATATCGAAAATCAAAATTTCGACCCGAAAAAAAACCGACAGTGTTACCCCTTACGTTTTTTTTTTTGGGCGAAAAATTAAGTATCCCCAATCTTCTCAAAACTCTGGATTCTGATAGAGGGCCATGAGACTTAGACCTGAGTGCAACAATGGAGGCTCTAGACCCTTCCAGAGCTGAGATATCGAAACTCAAAATTTCGACCCGAAAAAAAAACACAGTGTTACCCCTTACGTTTTTTTTTTTTTTGGGCGAAAAATTAAGTATCCCCAATCTTCTCAAAACTCTGGATTCTGATAGAGGGCCATGAGACTTAGACCTGAGTGCAACAATGGAGGCTCTAGACCCTTCCAGAGCTGAGATATCGAAACTCAAAATTTCGACCCGAAAAAAAAACGACAGTGTTACCCCTTACGTTTTTTTTTTTGGGCGAAAAATTAAGTATCCCCAATCTTCTCAAAACTCTGGATTCTGATAGAGGGCCATGAGACTTAGACCTGAGTGCAACAATGGAGGCTCTAGACCCTTCCAGAGCTGAGATATCGAAATCAAAATTTCGACCAGAAAAAAAAAAACGACAGTGTTACCCCTTACGTTTTTTTTTTGGGCGAAAAATTAAGTATCCCAATCTTCTCAAAACTCTGGATTCTGATAGAGGGCCATGAGACTTAGACCTGAGTGCAACAATGGAGGCTCTAGACCCTTCCAGAGCTGAGATATCGAAACTCAAAATTTCGACCCGAAAAAAAAAAACGACAGTGTTACCCCTTACGTTTTTTTTTTGGGGCGAAAAATTAAGTATCCCAATCTTCTCAAACTCTGGATTCTGATAGAGGGCCATGAGACTTAGACCTGAGTGCAAAAATGGAGGCTCTAGACCCTTCCAGAGCTGAGATATCGAAACTCAAAATTTCGACCCGAAAAAAAAAAACGACAGTGTTACCCTTACGTTTTTTTTTTTTGGGCGAAAAATTAAGTTTCCCCATCTTCTCAAACTCTGGATTCTGATAGAGGGCCATGAGAC